ATGAAGAAACAGTTAAACAAAATGTGGTATCTGTACATACCTATATACATGTATATACACACACATGTAACAGAATATTAGTAAACTATATAAGTATTGATAGATATTATAATGTGAATAAGCCTAAAAAACAGTATGATAAGTGAAAAAAGACAGGAACAAAAAACACATTATATTTTTATTTATAGGAAATGTGTAGACTATGTAAATTTATAGAGACATAAAGCAAATGGGTGGTGGCCAGGGCCCAGGGGGAACGGAGAATGGAGACTGATGGATTCATGGGCATATGGTTTCCTTTTAGAATGATGAAAATGTTTTGGATCTAGATAGAAGTGATATTTGTGTAACATTATAAATGTGGCAGATATCACTGAATTCTATATGTTGAAATGGTTAATTTTATGTGAGTTTTTACAATAAAAATGTTTATTCTTTTAAATTTTATTTATTTATTTTTAGCAAGAGGAAAAGGGAGGGATAAAGAGAGGGAGAGAAATATCAATTGGTTGCTTAACACCCCCAACTGAAGACCTGGTCCACAACCCAGGCACATGTCCTGAGCATAAATCAAATTTGCAGGCTGGTGCTCAATCCACTGAGCCACGCCATCCAGGGTCAATGAAAATATTTCAAAAAGAATAACATTGCAAGGACCCTGACACTCAAAATGCAGATAAACATCAACAACTATTTATTTAAAAAACTGCTTAGCAAAACAGGGGTAAATATATTTTCTTTGACTTCATAGATATCAGCTGCCAAAATGTTACAGCTGACATCATATTCAATGCTTAAATTTTAAAGAGGTTTGGCAATATGATACACGCATCTGCTGCCATTACTGCTGCTAAATACTCGGTTGGGGGTCTTAACAGTACAGATTGAGAATAATAAAAACTAAAGAATTAAAAAATTGGAAACAAAGAAACAAAACTGTCAGTGATTGCTGAAGTGGAAAAACAGAAGAATTCACAGACAATCATGTAGCATAAGAGTCTAGTAGGATTGTTGGATACTTGGTCCATATGCAACTTCAGTTGAGTGCCAGGCACCAGCAAGAGTCATGACATTTTGGAAAAGCACTCTGTTCACAAAAAAAATTATGGAAGAACCTGAAAAATTTCTACCACTTTATCGAAAGAACTTTAAGATGGCAAAATAAAGATGTAGATTGGTTACTAAACGTGAAGGCTCAGTATCGCAAAGATAACTTTCACATCCAATAACTGTCTTTTAAGTACCAAGAGGCAGACAAACATTGGTGAACATGCAAGAACTTGTATAATTCCTATGAACATAACAAAATTGTTGAAACATGAATTTTACCTGTAAGATAGGAACAATAAACAATGGCAAAAGAACTGAGCGTAAACACTGAATTCATTTAACCATAGATAGGAAGCCTTTAGTAGATTCATTATGGTATAACTTCTGCATGGGAATTTTAGTTAGAGGGCCTAAGCCAAGTGCCAAGAAAAGACAATACTGAAATTATATAACTTAAAAAATTGGGAGAGAAATGGGAGAAAGAAGCTTAAAGGAAATGTGAACATTGATAACATTTTAGTCTAAGGAAGGAGGGAAATATTATCTAAACAGACTTTTCAAAAAAAAAGTATACATAAAGTATAAAGAGAGACATCTAGAAAAACCTATAGTTAACCCTGGGCAATGGAATGAAAGAGAAGGCACTGAAACTAAATGAAGAGAATTAGGGTAGCAGAATTTTCAGAAATGGTAAATAGAGTCCCTTTTGTTGCCCAAGCTGCCTTGGCCCCAGGGCAGTTCAGAAGACAGATTTGGGAGTGGCCTGAGAGATGGGTGGGACTGGCACCAACACCCAGGGCTCCTGCAAAAATGTGAGGAGAATTTTGTGGCTGAAGTTTCCCAGTATCTTGATGACTGCATTCCCCAAGCAGAGGTCGTGCTCTTAACAATGAAACACCAGAACTTGGAGCCAGGCATGAACTTGACAGATCTTATCACTGTGCCTAAGTGGGAGCAGGACTTGGAGATGAGGATCCACGTTGTAGACCCTCGTGGGACCATCCTCGCACAGCACTGAGAATGTCCTGTCTGTCCCACACTTTCTGAGACAGTTCCCTGCAAGGGAAAGGTTTTTCTCTCAGCTGCACCAGCTGTTAATTAGTTCATGTCTTAATAATCCCCAGAACTGCTGATGCTGATTTGCCTGGGGACTAACATTTATAGCTTCTTGGCGGGTGCACCACTGTCCCTTTGCGGAAGGTGTCAGTGCCTTACAGGTGACAGAGTAATTGTAGCTCCAGTAGGAGATGAACCCAGGGAACATCAGGGCACATAACTGCTTTAGCTGTCCACAGGACGTGTACACTGGTGGCCACATCCCTGCAGCCAGTTCCGGTGACAGAGACCAGCCCTGGAGTGTTTCATTGTGGCTCAGATTCCAGTAAGGTTTGGGTGAGCGCCTCTAAGAGGCAGAGGGCAGGTGAGGAACTGGCCAGGACAGAGGTTTTCTCATGGATCTCAGCACAGCTGTGCCTCACAGTCTGGACCTGTTTCGGGGTTTATAGTGTTGGGAGAGTGTCATACTGAAGACCTCACAGCAGGCAGGGGGTGGACACCGCTGAGGCTGAGGCCAGCCTGAGGGGAAAGGCTGCTCTTCTTTTTAAGAATGGGGGTAGTAAAGGGTAAAGGTGGGGGTCAAATATATGGTGACAGAAGATTTGATGTTGGGTGGTGGGCACACAGTGCAATATACAGATGATGTAGTATCATAAAATTGTACACTTGAAACCTAATTTTATTAACCAGTATCACTCCAATAAATTTAGTTAAAAATAATAAATAAATGAAAGGTAAAAAAAAAGAGTAGGGATAAAGTTTCCTATTGGCCCAAACCACTGAGAACTAGACTCCGAGCCTTTGATCAACATGACGCTTTTACTTGTCCCTGTTCTCTGCACACACGTGTACACAAAGACTCACACTGCTCCAGGACTGTCCTCACAGACAGATTTTGGAATTTGGATGGAACTAGAGAAATGGATGGGATCCTAGTGGGCTAATCATGTTGTATGCTTTTCTTTTACACTCAAAGGCACTATTCAAAAGCAAAACTTAGCAACAGTCCAGCCTTCGGAGACAGGAATAGCTTTTTTCAATTCTTAACTCTGCCTCCTACAGGCTGAGTGGTGGTGGTGGTGGTATCTCCTGACAGCGTGTCTCAGCTTCCCCACCTGTGAGCCAGGGATAGGAACAGAGTTGCACTCTCAATACTAAACAGTGAATATTAAAGAGGGTGACACTGCCAGCATACAGCAAGGCTCTAGCATGTGGTGGTCATGACAGTCTCTTCTGCGTGATTCTGACAACTTTGGACTTTGCAGCAATTGTCATCCAATTCGCCTCATCTCAGTATGACTGTTGATTTCCCAGCTTCATCTTGTTTTATTTTATTTTATATTATATTTTATTTATTTATTTTTCGAGAGAGGGGAAGGGAAGGAGAGAGGGAGAGAATATCAATGTGTGGTTGCCTCTCCTGCGTCCCCTGCTGGGAACTGGCCTGCAACCCAGGCATGTGCCCTGACTGGGAATCGAAACTCGATACTCTGGTTCACAGGCCCACGCTCAATCCACTGAGCTATGCCAGCCAGGGCATTCTAATGACTTTTATCAGATGTTGCATTGATGGGACTCATGACTGGGGCCAGTGCTTACATGGTACTTCTTCTCCACAGACATTGTCAGAGGGTGAGGCATATTCACACCCTCAGAAATGCCTGTAGATTTTCCCAAGTCAAAAGCCACTCAAAATGTCCTGCTTCTAGCAAGCACCTTCATTTTGTTTTACTTCACCAATTCTATCCTCACAATTTATGTTGCTTTTTTCAAATCTTGCATCTGGATTCAGTATACCATCCCCTTTCTGACAGCATGTTACCCTACCCTGAGCCCTCCGATATTGTTGCTTTCGGATCCCCAAACAGCAAGATTCCGCTCTTGAATGGTGATGAAAAACATTCTGAATTACTTGTGGTCCCATTCACAAGTTTCCCTTTTCTTCAAAAAATCTGGTTATTCACTGATCAAGCAAGGATATATCGCTGTCTAGAACACAACAGACGTACAGCCAACATACTGATGATGGAAAAACTTGTATGACATTGACTTAAACGTGTAGACTGTTTCAGCTTCATTCAGAAGGCAGTCAATCAAATAAACACAATTCTGCATGCATTAGCATCGTCTTGATGCTTTGTGAAGTCCTTCTTTGAAATATTTGATGGAAACACGGAAGTAGAGTAGGACAGAAGTAATTTAGTGATACATCAGAATTTTTAATGGTTTATTTGGGTGATTATTAAATTGGATACAGCATTTTGTATAGATAAAGAGTAATAGCTTTGTGTGCCAACAACAACTATAACCAATGGGAAGCAGCTTAATCATTACTGACATGGGTGTTTACCTATAGAATCAACAGATTGTATTCTATTAGATTATTGTGCAAAAATAAATGAGAGGATGAGATCAGACTTCCAAAATAGCACATTGATGGCCTTTGTAAATCCACTCTTCCATTAAAGCAACATAAACACTAGCAAAATTATCAAAGTCAACTTTTCTACAACTCTAGTACGTAATCAAAAGCTTACAGCAGCTTGAAGACCATTTAGTCAAGAGAAAAGTTTGGGCCCTGGGTGGTATGACTCAGTGGGTTGAATTCCAGCCTGTAAACTGAAAGGTTGCCCATTTGATCCCCAGTCAGGGCACATGCCAGGGTTGTGGGCCAGGTCCTTGGTTGGGGGAGTGTGAGAGGCAATCTATTATTAATGTTTTATCACACATAAATGTTTCTCTCCTTCTCTTTCCCCCTCCCTTCCTCTCTCTGTAAAAAAAAATAAAATAAAATCTTTTAAAAAATTGGCCCTGGCTGGTGTGGCTCAGTTGGTTGGAGTGACATTCCTGTACACTGAAGGGTCATGGGTTCTATTTTTGGTAAGGACACATACCCAGGTTGCAGGTTCAATTCCTTGTTGCGGTGTGTACAAGAAGGCAGCCAATCAATGTTTCTCTTTCATGTTGATGTTTCTCTTTCTTCCTCACTCTCTCTCTCTCTCTGAAAGCAATGAATAAATGTCCTTGGGTAAGGATAAAAATAAAAGTCTGAACCTCAGTAAAAACTGTGGGGTATATAGTTTTCATTCTGTTTACTCCCATCCCTGTCTCCCCAGCTCCCCACTAATCATGAAAAAAAATGGAAGCTTCACAAGTATAGTAGCCATGGAAACCATTTTAAAAGAACAATCAGTTTAAATTTTTAACTCTGCAGTAGCCTAAGGCTGTAATACAAACCAGTGTGAACAAAACCCCAGCCAAAAATTTTAAAAGGAATATCTGAAGTATAAGATGGTCAGAAGGAGCTCTGGCTGGTGTGGCTCAGTAAATTGAGTGCCAGCCTGTGAACCAAAAGGTTACTGGTTCGATTCCCAGTTAGAACACATGCCTGGGTTGCAGGTCAGGTCAGGTCCCCAGTATGGGGCATGTGAGAGGCAACCACATACTGATGTTTCTCTCCCTCTCTTTCTCCCTCCCGGCCCTTCTGTATAAAATAAATAAATAAAAACCTTTAGAGGAAAAGATTTCCACAAGGATCTATTAGACATATTCCAAGGCCACATACATTCACAGGGATGTGTATATGCCCAACAACTCATTCCTTGGTGATCTTAAAATCCCGAGGCAGGAAGAAAATGCTAAGGTGGATTTGTTGAGTGTCTGAGCATTGAAGTAGGGCCTCAACACACAACATATCCCTTAGCAAAGGGTAGAAGACTTACTGACTCAGGGTGACTATGAAAATTTCTCAGATCAATCATCAGCTAACCAAGAATACACTTCAGTAACCACCCACTACAGTAAAACAGAATGTACACAATTATTCCAGCAATGTCACTAAACAAACTACAACAAAAGTTCCCCCTTTCCCCAGGCAATAGCAACAAGCCCTGGGGAAAGGGGGAATCTGATACTCAATGTAGTAACATTATATTGCCTGACATACCTAGCCTCAACAAAAACTTAATGAAGAATCACAAAAGTTTGGTTCCTACACAGGACAAAAAGCAGTTCACAGTCCCTTAGGGGTCTTGTAAGTCAGCTTCACTACACAAAGACTTTAAATCAGCTATTATGAGTATGTTCAAGGAACTCAAATAAGTCATCTTTAGAGAACTAAAGGATGGAATAATATTTCATCAAGGGACCTTGTGGTAGAGGTCAACCTTATTACACTGGTTGTCTGTTTCGTGTCCTCAGAGCTTGTCTGTGGGGATTTTGAGGCAGTGGAAAGATATAAAGTTTTAAAATTTTACAATATAATACTATTAGAATTAATAAGTGTATCCAGTTTGCTTAATATATCAATATACAAATCAACTGTATTTGTACCACCAACAAAGAAACAATGAAATTACAAAATATCATTTACAAGAACATTAATATCAAGCATCATGCAATTAATCTAATAAAATTGATAGAACTTTTATGTTACATCAATTATATTCAGAGACATTAAAGAAGACCTAAATAAATGGAGCGATACACACTGTTCATGAATTTTAAGACTTCATATTGTGACGGTGTCATTACAGAAAATGATTTATAGATTCAGTGCAGCCCCAATACGAATTCCAGACATTTTTTTTCTGGTGAAAGTTGGCAAGGTAAGTTAAAAAAAAATTTTATTTGCAAATATAGAGGGCCAAGAGAACAATGATACTCTTGTAGAAAAACAAAATGGTAGACGGCCTTGCTTAGATTTTAAGACTCCGAAATAGGTAAAACACAGTATTGGCTTAGGGACAAAGGACAGATCCATGGAACAGAACATGTGAGATCAGAGTCATACAAATAGGGACACCTGGTTTATGATAGAGATAACACTACCCAGCAGTACCTAAGAGGTTGACATTACATTATGCTGCAGTAATAATGATCTAAACCTAGAGAAAAGATGGCAACTTCTTCACAGTGGTCACAGAAACACATGACTGGGGAGACTTTTTTTTATGTATCTTTGTTTTTCTTGTAACGTAAGAAACAGGTATTATTTTCTTGTCCAGCACCGTGGTTGCACTGTCTACACCACTACCATGTCCGCCCATTAACCCCTCACAGTGTTTTATCAGGAAGCACACGCTCAGAGTGCTCTCCTCCTACCACCTCTGCTTCACATCCACATCTAGTTTCCTAATCGCGACTTTTCGAATGTCGGGATTCGGTATTTACCTCAACATTCCCCAATTATCGGCTCCAAGCCCGTTCGTTATTGTACGGACCCAAAGGTTTGCAGTACGGTCGCGTCTTTCAGCGTTTTTCAAAAGGGCTCCACAACCCTTTTGAAGGGGTTGTGCGGCCACTTTCTGCTGAGGCCAGACCTGTGATTGGTTTGGCTTTCGGGTAAGGTCGGAGGACTTCGACCCAGAGCGCCGAAATGCTGCTGAGCATGCGCACTGGTGCTGACAGCGGAAGTTAAAACCGAAGGGGAGAATTTCTGAAGAGGAGAGAAAGGATCTGTTGAGCCTGTTCGTGTTCAGGCTAGGCGACAATACGAGGTTGCCTACGTCGGCCTTCTCCCTCTCCGTACGGGGCTCAATCCAAGATGGCGGAACCGAATCAAAGATGGCCGCGCTCACACCGCGTAACGAAAAGGACGCGGCCATATTGCCCAGCGGTATTTTCAAAAGGGAACAAAATCAGCGTTTGTAGACAAATCGCTCACTTCCACAGTGCTACTGAGTCTGCGTAATAGCACGAGACACAGACCAGCCAAACGGGGGATTAGAAGCGGAAGTGGCGTGTGGAATCTTGGCTTCCTTAGGTAAGGTCGCAATTCTCTTTTGAGTTTACGTTCGATTTCTGCGAGCGTCTGTAAGAATCCCGCGCCGTGGGAATTCCGTGACATGAGATTATGTGGTTTGTGGTAGGTATTTGTGGGTGGGGTTGGGCGGGTGTTTTTTAAGGCGGCTTCGTAATTTTGGGATGGTTGTGGGCGGCTTGCCTGCCATCAGTGTTAAGGGTAGTGGGTTGAGGAGGAATGGAGAGACCATTCCTGTTGACAGTGGCAGGTCAGATGCGGGTAGTGGGGAGAGGCGTGGGGAGAATCGCTGATGGAGAGGCTACAGGATATGGTCAGTGAGGATAGGGATTGACCAGTGGTTGGTTGTCTGGGATTCTCATGGTCTTAGTTGGAGCGGGCCGCGGTCCACGTGAAAATAGGTTTCTGGGGACTTGTGAATGGGTGCGGCGGCCAAGTGCGGGGTGGGGAGTAGTAGGGTATCCTTGGGAGAGGTTGGTAAGTTTGGAACGTAAGGAGATGGATAAATATTTGGGCGTGTACCAAACACTGTATAAAATTGTTGTTTCCCAACATTTTATACTGAAAAATTTTAAGCATACAGAGAAGTGGAAAGAACAGTAAGTGGTCACCTTTACACTCGCCATCTAGATCCATGAATTGTTAAAAGCATACCATAAATACTTTGCGTCAGCCAGTGTACACTTGTTTATACGCGCTTGAAATCACATTTGTTCTAGCTTTTTATGTCAGTTCTGCCACTGGTTTGTGTGACTTTGGATAAGGCACCAACTTCTTTAAATCTCACTTTTCCCATTTAAACGTGATACCTACCTCACAGGTCCTCGAAAGCCCTGCTTGCGTGACCTCAGCTAACCTTAATTACCTGCAAAGGCTCCATTGCCAGATAACATCATCACATTGAGGATTAGCGCTTCAACATATGAATTTGGGGCTCACAATATTAAGTCTGTAACAGGTAGGTACTTGACAAAAAGCTATTCAAATATATACATTTCTAATGGGAAGTTTTCTATTTAAAACAAGTCTATGAACTTATTTTTGCCATATATGCTTTATAACCTCTATGAGTTTATGCTTGATATTAAATGGAGGTCTCTAATTTTTTTGTCACAATATTATTGTATGCTTGTCATCAATAAATAGAGAATAAAAATCACCTTCAATTTACTAACTGTAAGCTATTTATAATGTTTTAAGGTATATTTTTTAACTGAATTTTATATTATGGATAGTTTTTTTTTTTATAATTTACAAAAGTAAGGTAGATTAAATGCATTTTTCATAGGCTTCTGATTTAGTTTTACCAAATTTGGCCAATAATGATTATATAATGCTTCCACACACAGTGTGTCACATTTTTCTACATCTTTGGTGACTGTGGGTACATCTCATCCTATTCTTTTCTAATATGATAGCTCAATTTTGGCTTGTTGACCATCTTTTGGGGATGAAAGGCATCTCATTGTGGTCTCCGTATGCACTGTTCTCATTACTGACATGGTTTATCATTTTTTAAAATATGTTCATTGGCCAATTTTAAACCTGAGAAGTATGTTTTTTCTTTACTCACTTTTAGAAAATAGTCACATATGGAGAATAGTAGTCTTTTGTTACTTATTTTGTACTAAACCATTTGACTGGCCCTTGTTGCCAGCTCCTGGGAGGTAGCCCCTAAGTTGTTGGAATGTTCTGGATGGTAGGAGTGGGTTTGTTATTCATGGTGGACCTTGATAAGTTGTGCTAACAAGGTGACATGTGGTGGATCTGTAGATAGGTAGTTTTTGCTAGTGAGATAACTCAGGACGGGGCTGCGAATTCTGGAAGGACCAGTCACAGTGATTAGAGGCTTGGGGCTTTGAGGCAGGTAGTATCAGCCCAACGTCCAGGAGGGTAGGGTTGCTGGAGGATGAGCCACATGGCCAGTGTCTATTGAATCATGCTCATTTAGTGGAACGCTAACCAGAACTATACACAGTGAATCTCAGATGAGCTTTGGGTGGCAGTACCCCCCATATTATTTTGCACAGATAGGCTGGATGAGTAATGTGTTCTGATGCCAAGGGGAAAGGACAGTGGAAGCTTCTGGTTTGCATCCCTCGCAAGCCTCACTCTGTTGTGTCTCTCCATTACTGGTTATGGTCTGTATCCTTTTGCTGTAATAAAACTCTTCATTTTGTACATTTTTCCTTCAGGAAGCCAATAGTGTTTTTCTTTTAAATTAATATATTTTTGAACATGAAATTTTAATTACTATTAATATTACTCTTAAAGCAGTTGTGTAGTGACAGCTTTGCTTGTTCTTTTGCAGTTTTCATCCCTCAGTTTACTTTTCCCATTTTACTGGACAGATTTTGATCTGTAGTACATTTTGGGGTAAAGATTTTGAGAGTGGTTATCATTGTCATGTTCCTAAGCTTAAAGAAATGTTTAGATTTGTTTGTAGATACCCTTTATCAAGTTAACTGTTCTTGGCTACTTCTAGTTAAGATTTTTAAAATTTGTGAGTGGTTATGCTATTTTATTATCTTTTCTTTATCTACTGAGGTAATTAATCTTATACTGTTCTTTCATTCCTTAAATAAAGTCAACTGTACATTGTATAATTCTTTCTATGTATCAGTGGATATAGTTTCCTAATATTTTATTTAGGGTCTTTATAATCAAGTTCATAAATGAGATTAGCCTATAAATTTCTTTTTCGTATTGTCCTTGAAATCTAGGTTTGTTTTCTTGAGTTCCTTTGCCTCTTTGCACGTCTGGTAGTTTTTGTTTGGATGTCAGGTATTGTCCAGGTTTACATTGTTATTTGAGGAATTTTCTCTTACTCTTTTAACTACTTTTGAGGTTTGCTCTGGGTCGTAGTTAAGTTACTTTAAACAGTTTAATTCCTCTTTTTTTGAAATTTTTATGAGTTTTCTTTCACTCAAACTGACAACAGATGCCAGAGAGAAGAAGAGTTTTGCAGTTCAGTTTGATCTTTGGAGGCTTTCTTTTAGCTTTGTTAGGTTGGACGAAAAGAGTCTTTCATCTAGGATTACTTCGTCTTTACTACTGAGGCAGTACTTGGCTGAGACCTCTATTTGAAGTCCCTGTGTATCTTTTCACCCTGGCTAGTGAGAACACGGACCATTCCTCACCTTCAGTGAGCTCTAGGAATTGTTAGGCCTGATTCTTTCCAGTGGCCTTCTCCTAGTTAGTAGTTGGCCAGAGAGTCAAGGGAACCCTCTGCACATCTAAAGAGTGAGTTTTCTCTCCCGTCCTCCCCCCATCTCTCCATCCCTCCCTTCCTTCTTATCTCCCGCCCTTTTTGTCCTCCTCCCTCCTTCCCTGTCTCTCCCTCTCTCACCTTACCCTGATGCACTGCTTGGCAAACTTACCACCTTTGCTTCCTCAGACTTTGAGTTCTGTGTCATTAACTCAGCAAGACTGTAGACCTTTTTTGGGCCCCTTCTCCCTGCGTTGTGTCCTGAAAAGTCTCTCCAGGCAGTGAGCTGTAGCATACAAGGGTCTTACCTTCTTTGTTTCTCCTCTTCTCTCATTTCTGAGTTTGAAAATGGTTGTTCTAGATGTTTTTCCAATTTTTAAAAAAGTTGGTTAAGATGAAGAATAATTCTAGTAATTAATTGTCCCTGGAATCAGAGGATTTATTAATTGTGAGGGTTTGTGTTTTATCCACGTTCCATGGGTTAATACTTGTGTAGCCTTTAGCTAGGTGATGGGCTTTTCCTGTCTTGGTGTGCTCTGAAGTAGAATAATTACAGTCTGTACTTCATAGGGTTGTTGTGAGGGTTACGTCAGGAAACAAGGTGCTTAAAACAGTTCAATGCAGCCCTGGCTGGTGTGGCTCAGTGGGTTAAGTGCTGGCCTGCAAATCGAAGGGTTGCTGGTTTGATCCCCAGTCAGGTATTTGCCTGGGCTGTGGGCTGGGTCCTGGTTGGAGGTGTGTGAGAGGCAACCAATTGATGTATCTCTCAAATATCTACGTTTCTCTTCCTCTCTTTCTCCCTCATTTCTTCTCTCTAAAAATAAATAAAACCTAAGAAACAAAAACAAACAAAAAGTTCACTGTTTGTATAGGAACTCGCTTTTATTATTTTCATGCCAAACAAATCTTTCCTTGACTTTGTAGATGCTGGCTTCCCTAAAATGAGCGGATTCTGTAAATGAAAAAAGTAAATCTCAGTCCAGGAATTATTCCTTTCTGAGGCTAACCTTGATGAGACACTGACATCAGGATTTCAGGAAACATACTAAAAGTGGTGGGCATTTCCTGAAAGCTGCTGAAATGACTAAGTCGCAGGTGAGCTTGTTATTTCCCTTCCTGTTATCCAGGAAATTTCTGGAAGTAGAGAATAATATACTGGTATGTAGACACATTGTGGTGGCCAGATATGTGCTTGGACTGGGAGACAGAGTAAATGATTCAGAGTAACTATCAGGCAGAAAGGTATATCTGCTTGTCAAAGTGCTAATAATTAGAATATAGCCAAATAAGCAACAGGATCCAGAACTGATTTGGATACTTTTCTGTGGTGATAATAGAAACCATCACAGAAGACTAAAAACATGTTACACAATTTACTTTGTATACATGGAGGAAGCACATGTATTCCTTGAAGTCAGTAAATATTTCTTGGATGTTAAGTGTGAAGAAATGTCTTTGATGTATCTTCTTCTTCCATTTTTCTGGTCCAGAATATAGACCCTGGTGAACAGTAATCTTCCTAAGGAAATGTGGGAGATATACAAGGCACAGCTAGAGAACTTTTTAAATCTCTTCTTACCTATAAAAAAAAAAGATAATAATAGTGCTTACATAGATTGTTGTTATTAATATATGTAAAATGTTTAGAATGATAATATCAATAGTAAGAGCTCTGTGTTTGCTTGTATCATGATTTAATATGTAGAAAAATCGATTTTAATAGGTGGTCCTGTGAATAACATACTTTTATATGTGAACAGCACCACAGTGACTACCAAGTGTCTGCAGGAAATGTGTGCTCTTGCTCCAAGGCCGATTTTTGGCTGTTACCAAGGCACATGTTCTCATCAGCTGCTTCTCCTCTCTCACTGAACTGTTTGCAGTGCCTTGAACCCAAACAGATCACAAGCTGTATGACACAGGGCCATGCTTTATTTCCTTTTTCTTTTTTTTTTTTAATTGCAAAAGGTGTAGTAGGTAACATTCACTGCTCCTAAGGTGGGTTGCAGATGATTTTTAGGTAATTCAAAGTTTTAACATTTTATGTTGGGTGAATAAATTAAGAAGTGAATGAAGATTACACAAGCAGAAGAAAGTTTGAACAAATTTAGCCAAAAACTGTAAAGCAAAACTATGTACAGAGAAATATTTATTTATGTTTTCCTAGTTTAAATAATCAGAATATTCTATAGTATCTTGTACTTTATTCAGTTATAATAACTCCAGACTAAAAAGGATTTGTATTATAACAGGGCATGTTGTCATTCAGTGATGTGGCTGTATATTTCACCTGGGAAGAGTGGCAGCTACTAGACACTGCTCAGAGGAATCTCTACCGGGATGTGATGTTGGAAAATCATAGCAACCTAATGTCATTGGGTAAAGACAACTTTCCTAAGTATCTCAGCCTAAGCTCATTAATTGCCTGTCTTTTTTCCATTGCTACAATTTATGGGTACTCTTGATATTCTCAGTGATTTTGGACTGGGACTTAGACAGAACTTACTTTGTTTATGATCAGACAGTGACAGTACTCACTTTTATTTCCAAATGAAAAATTTTAATTTTGCTGAGATTTAAATTATGTAGTCTCTGGGCCTCAGGAAGTAGGGTATAGGGGGTGGACAAAGGGGGGTAAAGTAGCAACAATTATAATAGTGTAAACAATTAAAAAAATTTAAAAATAAAAAAAAAAAAACAAGGTCCCCTCCCTCCCCCCAGAAGAAATATTCCCGTGTAAAAATGTTTGGAGTTAAAAATAAGTAAATAAATTATGCATTCTCTGAAACAACTTTTTCACAGGCCCTAATACTGCTCAGGTTCTCTGTAATTATCCCTTGGCAGGTTATCAGGCTACCAAGCCTGAAGCAGTGGCCTGCTTGGGAAAAGAAGAACAAAGAATTGTAGAGAGGGAATTTCCCAGTCATTTTAGTCCAGGTGAGTGAAAACAGTGCATTGGGCATTACTGTAAGCAAAGTAACAGTTGGTCATTGGTGTGGGACCCTTATCATTCTAATGTTTTTTTTACACTCTCTGAATCTTTAGAGGTGACTTAGAGTGAGTAAAAAGAGGTCTTTTGCCTGCTTCTATTACCACCTTTCTATATATGATTTTTTTTTAGCCACCCAGGAAGTGTACCTTTTTTTATTTACTCTGGGTCAGATCTTTGCCTATTTCATTTGGTATTTACTTCCTTAGTTGTTCTTCTGTTGAAGCTTGTTACACACAACCAGCGTCCTCCCACCTTTTTTCCATATTCACATACCTTTTATGTCATGCATTCATGTGTTCATAGGTTTGTTCCAAAGTTTGACGACACCCATGTCATTCCATTCATTGATCATTACTGTTTCTTTTATTGAAAGCCTCAGACTTGTGCACCTGCTGTATGACTTTCTTCATTCTCTTTGAATATTGATTTGAGATTCCATCACCCTCCATTTCATGACAGTGGTAGAATTCATTGATTTTTTTTCCCCTTAGAAGTAATGTGGCAAGTTTGTGATTGGTATCAGGAAGACATTGAGGACGAACCTGTGGAGAGAGATCATGAAAATAATGCATTGGGAAAAATATTTTCTCACAGCAAAAATTTCATTCCATTTAGAGAAAAATCCAATAAATGTATCTCAAAAGGAATAACTTTGAAACAAGATTCAAATTTTCACAGTAAAAACTGTGCAGAAATGAACTCTAATGAGTTAAATGGTTCTGGGAAATCGGTTTTCTATACTCTATATGAAACCTCTAACATACATGCCCAGTACTATGAACCGAATTTACATGTGAAGGTTTTCAGCCTTGGGACAAATCCTAAAAGACATCACAGAATTTACACAGAGGGGAAACGTTATGAATGCAGTGAATGTCTCAAATCTTTCAGGTATAAGTCAAAGCTCATAATACACCAGAGAACTCATACAGGAGAGAAACCCTATGAATGCACAGAATGTGGGAAAGCTTATAGGGAGAAGACGAAACTCAGATTACATTGCAAAACTCACACAGGAGAGAAACCTTTTGAGTGTAGTGATTGTGGGAAAGGTTTTATGCAGAAGTCAAACCTGATTATGCATCAACGAATTCATACAGGAGAGAAACCCTATGGGTGTAGAGAATGTGGAAAGGCCTTCTGTGGTAAGTCTCAGCTTGTTGTTCACCAACGAATTCATACAGAAGAAAAGTACTATGAATGCAGGGAATGTGGGATAGCCTTCAATAAAAACTCACACCTCATAACACATCAGAGAATTCACACAGGAGGGAAACCTTATAAATGCTGTGAATGTGGAAAAGCTTTTGTATATGCATCACAGCTTATTGTCCATCAGAGAACTCATACAGGAAGAAAACCTTATGAATGCAAAGAATGTGGGAAATCCTTTAACAAAAAGTCACACCTCATAAGACATCAGAGAATCCATACGGGGGAGAAGCCATATGAATGCAGTGAATGTGGAAAAGCTTTTATAGACAACTCACATCTTGTTGTTCATCGAAGAACTCATACAGGAGAGAAGCCTTATGAATGTAGGGAATGCAGGAAAGCCTTTAATAAAAAGTCATCCCTCATAACACATCAGAGAATTCATACAGGGGAGAAGCCTTATGAATGCAATGAATGTAGAAAAGCTTTTATAGACAAGTCACATCTCATTGTCCATCAGAGAACTCATACAGGTGAAAAACCCTATGAATGCAGTGAATGTGAAAAAGCTTTTATAGACAACTCACAGCTTATTGTTCATCAAAGAACTCATACAGGAGAGAAGCCTTTTGAATGCAGGGAATGTGGGAAAGCCTTTAGTTATAAGTCATCCCTCATGGCACATCAGAGAATTCATACAGGAGAGAGGCCTTATGAATGCAGTGAATGTAGGAAAGCTTTTATATACAAGTCACATCTCATTGTCCATCAGAGAACTCATACAGGAGAGAAACCCTATGAATGTAGTGAATGTGGAAAAGCTTTTGTACGAAAGGCAGTGCTCATTGTGCATCAAAGAACACATACAAGGGAGAAACCCTTTGTCTGTCTTGAATGCCAAAAAGCGTTTGGCAGTATGGCAATGCTCAGTACACATCAGTTGATTCACACAGGAGAGAAACCCCATGGATGCAACAAATGTGGAAAAACTTTCCGCCAAAAAAGCCATCTTATTATCCATCAACGATGCCATACTGGAGAGAAGCTCTGTGGATGCATTCCTTGTGGTCAAATCTTCAGCTAGAAGTCCCAGCTCATTAGGTGTCAGAGATGCACACAAGAGAGAAATCATGCCAATGTGAGAAAAACCTCCTTTTGAGAAATCGTACCTTTGTCCTGCAGAGAAGTCATGCAGGACATAAACTTGGTCAATGTAATGAATGTGGGAAAACTTTACCTGCCAGGTCCTTTCTCACTTTGCATGAAGAAATTTATACAGAAATAAAAGAAACCCATTAAGTGCTGGAAAGACTTCAGTGAGATGTCAGATCTCTTTGAAAGAAGAGAATTTACACAAAAGACATCCTTTGAATGTGGTGAAACTGCTGGTATTTTTCTATTATTTTGACCTTTCTAAGTTTCAGAAAACTTATCCAGGAGTGAAATCTTTTAAAGTGAGTGATTATATGAAAATTATTTGCCACTAACATAGCTTCATCTTTCATTAGAGAAAGTTCATATGAATGAGTTGAAAAGTCAAAATCATTTTTTAACAAGAGGAATCCCATTATAGTAGACCACAGATGTGAAATCTTTTGAGTACACATTTTTGATAGGTCATAAAATTTTCAGTTTTCACATTCATGTGAAAAATCTCATGAATTGAGAATCCTGGAATATGTTGCGAATAAATGAGCTTTCATACCAAAGAATGCAGATAATAGAATACTTGTGATAAGAGATGTCTCTGGCATTAATTCCAAACTTCTGTGCATCAGACAATGTTAAGGAGAATTAGTATACTGTAATGATCATGGAAATGGTTGTTTACATAAATAACTTCATAATAGAAATTCAAATCTTGTCACATTATTATGTATTTATAGAAAATGCACCACAAAGTAGTCAGCTGTGAAGGGCAGATAACTTTAGCATGCCAAATAAGTTTCATGTTTGGATATATTTTGCAGTCAAAGTAGTAAATTAAGAAAGGTTGTGGATATACGCATTTTGCTTTGTGTCTGGGTATTTTTGTAGAACATGTATGTATTAGATTTAACAAGGTAAAGTTCTGTACCACCAAAAAAAATAACATTGTAAATTTTTGTATGTTGTAAATTGCAAGGGAAGTAATTAGGTTTAAGATCGAATGAGACTGTAACATAACACCATACACATATAAATTTACTGTTGTTTACTGGTATGTGTAAATGGGACTGGTATTTCTTTTCAGCCCTTTGGAATAATAAAGTTTTAAAAACAAATTGTCTTTTGGTTGTCACTTAGAAAAAAATATTCATTTAAAATAATTGAGTTAAAAAAATAATAATCTTCACCTGACGACATTTTTTCATTGCTTTTGGAGAGTAAGGAAGCGAGAGAAACATCAGTGAGACAGAGAAGTGTCTATTGGTTGCCTCTTGTAGGTGCCCAGACTGGGATTTTTACATCCCTGGACCAAGGATTGTATGTGCCAGACTGGGGTCCATCCTACATGCCAGTACCAGGGGTTGAACCCACAATCCAGAAATGTGCCCTGACCAAGACTCAAATCTGCAAACTTTTGGTTAAGCAACCAACTGAGCTACACTGGGCAGGGCAAAAATAATTGAATTTTAAGAGTGAAGGATAATCGCAACTTTTCTGAGCCAAAAATAGCGGTCGCTATTTTCAAATAAATAAAGATTAAAATGTTACCTTTGTTGGTGGTATTGCTTATATGAGGATCATTGCTTAGACCCATGGCCAAATGTGCTTCCCACTACTTTCCCTTCTAAAACGTAGTCTGTTTCCTAAGGGCTGCCATAGGAAAGTACTATGAACGGAGTGGCTTAAAACAACAAAGTTCTGGAGGCTAGAAGTTCAAAATCAAGGTGTCATCAGGGCCACCCTCTTTCTGATCCCTGTTGGAGAATTTTCTCTTGCCCCCCAGCTTCTGGTAGACTTGCTGGCAATTTTTTGGCATTCCTTAGCTTGCCAGGGCACAAGTCTAATCAATCTCTCTCTCCATCAACACACGGCATTCTTCCCATGTGCCTCTGTGTCTTTATATGGCCATCTTATAAAAACACTAGTCATAGTGGACTAGTGGTCCACCCTATCCATTATGGCATCATCTTAACTAATTATATCTGCAACTACTGTATTTCCAGATACAGTCACATTTTGAGGTATTGGAGGTTAGGACTTAAGTATACCTCTTTTGGAGGGAGCGTACATTGGTTCTGGTACCAATTTCACTGTATGTGTTTCTGGGGAGAGTGTAGGGTGGCTAGTTTCACACACCAAGAAATCATCCTCAGATGCCAGCAGGGCATCTGAGAGTCCAAGAATTCAGCTCTTTTAAAAAAAATTATTTTACTTATCTATTTTTAGAGGGGAAGGGAAGGAGAAAGAGTGGGAGAGAAACCATTGTGTGGTTGCCTCTCATGTGTCCCCTCCTGGGGACCTGGCCTGCAACCCAGGCATGTACCCTGACTCGGAATCAAACCAGTGACCTTTTGCTTCACAGGCCTGTGCTCAATCCACGGAGCCAGACCAGCCAGGGCCAGCTCTTTTTCTAATGCTATCTGGAGAAAGCATCAGGTTCCACGGGTTAGGGGTTCTGTTCCAAAAGACTGGCCCCTCTGTTCAGATGGTAGTCACGATCCCAGGCTCTTACCCATGCTTCTGACCAATGCCTATAAACTGCAGGCTTCACCCTGGCTGGTGTGGCTCAGTGGATTGAGGGCTGGCCTGTGAACCAAAAGATCACCAGTTCGATTCCCAGTCAGGGCACATGTCTAGGTTGTGGGTCAGGTCACTATTTCTTTTCTCCCTCACTTCTCTAAAAGTAAATAAAATCATCTTCAAAAATAAATTACAGGTTTCAGTGACCCCTTCTAACAGAATGCTAATCACAAGTCTTAAATTATTACCTGTACTTCTGCCTGACCGGCTATAAATTAGTTTCCCACAACCCTCTTACTTGGTTTGTTTAATTTGCTAAAATGGCTCACAGAACTCACAAACATGTTATTTACTAGATTACCTTTTTTTTTTTTTTTTTTTTGGTAAAAGGATCCAACACAGGAACAAACAGATGGATGAGATGCATAGGGCAGGGTGTATGGGGAAGGGTGTGATGTCTTTGTGCCCTTTTCAGGCACGCCACTGTCCTCACATCTCCATGTGTTCACCAACCTGGAAGCTCTCTGAACCTCTTTCTCTTGGGTTTTCATGGAAGCTTCATTATATAGCCACATTTGATTGCATCATTGACATTGATTGGCAGCTGATTCAATCTCCGGCCCCTCACATGGTTGGCTCCATTGGCAACCAGCTCCCATCCTGGTGTTTTCCAAAAATAACCTCAATAGTGAGACAAAAGACACTTTTAACACCCTCAACACTTATGAAATTCCAAAGGTTTGGGAAGATGTAACTCAGGAATTGTGGATGAAGACTATAATAGGGTCTGGCAGAAGTAAGGCCTGCCTGGGTGTGATCAGTAGGGTAATAATTTGGGTATAATAATTTATAGTTTTAACTTGAACATTTCATCTAAAGTGTTATATGATGTGCTTGAGTACGATATTGTTATGTTACAGAATTACATGGTTATGGTTTTGTAATAAAAAGGGGCATTATTTGTGCCAGACCCTGTATTTTTTATAAACCGCAATATTATTAGAGAAGAACACAAGTCATCTATAAACACCTAGTACTTTGAATGTGTAGCTATAAAGATAGTCCCAGGTTCAGGTCAGACACGTTTAGCTAGGCAGTTATACTCATCATGCCTTATAAGTGGAGACAGGGAGAATACCCTGCATATAGGCCTCCTTCAGGCACACCCTGGGTCGTATAATGATGGTACTTACCACCATGACAGCAGATAGGAGAGGAAACATCCTGCCCCACCAACAGGCTAACAAACGAAAAGGTGGCATAGACACCACAGTTATTTGGATAACTCAGGTGGGACAGTTTACCCTGTTTCCTTTGGAGAGGAGAAGGTAAGGGCACAGCAAAGTGTTCTTCCCAATTTAGTGGACGTAGTTAATAGCTTTGCGCAGTGGCAGTATCGTAGCCAATGAGGTTTATCCGAGGCGTGATTATTGCTAAGTGGATGTAGTTAAGTTTCTTTAATAAATCTAGTTATAAATTTGAGAAGATAGAGAAAATGTTCTGGCATATTCAAAAAGGGGGTGAGGTAATCCCAATGACAGTGAATGTCCAAGCTCCTGAAACATACATCAATACAATAGAATGCTAAACACAGGAAATAAGTGGCTGAGGGCCACCCTCCTCAAAGTGATGCAGGTCACAAACCACGTACACAAGGTGGTTGCACAAGAATACACCTAGTATGTCCTTTTTGGTTACTTCCTGTATCAGTGTATCAACTCCCAAACATGATCTACCCTTTTTAATCCCACTTAATGATGCTGGAGCCGGACCTTGTGGATGTGTCCATCATCAGTTGGTGAAGTTGTAGGGTTATTAACAGAGAACACAGAAGGGACATTATGTGGCCATAGCAAAGGGGTTGTTTCTCTGGTTCTGGTTCTGGTTCTGGTGTGCTGCTTTTTTTTAAAAATATTTTATTTATTTATTTTTAGAGAGAGGGGAAGGGAAGGAGAAAGAGTGGGAGAGAAACATCAATGTGTGGTTGCCTCTCTTGAGTCCCCTGCTGGGAACTGGCCTGCAACCCAGGCATGTGCCCTGACTGGGAATCGAACCGTGATACTCTGGTTCGCAGGCCCATGCTCAATCCACTGAGCTACGCCAGCCAGGGCCTGCTTTTTTTTTTTTTAACTGAATGTGTGGCTACCAGCAGTGGTTGGCTGGAGTTCCTGTGGCCTTCACTTTAGTGTTCCTCACTGATGAGTTCCATCTCTCCTGTAGCCTCCACTGAGCTTCACCACCACCGGGGCCATGTTTTGTGGATGAACTTTGCCTTGCTGGTTAGTTTTACCAACCATTGATTACTCTTGCCTGGTTCAGTGATTACCATGATCGCTGCAAAATAGTGATTTTTTACTTATTCTGTATATATCTAATATTTGGAATTCTGTAAGGAAGGGCTTTCCTCCCCCATTTATTATTTATTTATTTATTTAATGTCATTATGGATTCAAGAGTTATTTTAGTCACCAATTTATCATCTTTGCTATCATTGTTTTGAGCTCATATTTCTCCAGATTTGGCCAATGCAAGTCTTTTTTTTAAAATAAACTTACATTTTAATAGTGACAAGGAGGACAAGAGTGTAAATTAGAACAGCATACTCCAAGAATAGATAAATGTCAAATAGCCTGGGCTAGATCCTTGATCTTTACTGTTGGTTGGCTGGTATTACATAAGGGCATGACTGATATTCAGTTCAGCAGGTGTACTCTTGTGGTTTGTCAGCACTTGAGCTCCTGTCAATAACTGAATCTTGTTAGCAGGTTATTTTTTCAAATGTGTGACTGAGAATGAATGAGAAAGGAGCTGGGGCAAGCCCGGACCAATGCAAGTCTTGTTAACTTGGCTTGTGTATATATTTTATATATTTCCACCATTTTTTGAGCACTTTGTTTGGTTCAAGAATATTGTCCAGGCTGCTTTATGTTCCTTGCCCCAGTACTGGAATCAGTGATTTCTCCAAGGAGTCCTAGGTTTTTAAGGTGCAGAATTGTATTTAGAAACAAAAATCAGCCCTGGCTGGTGTGGCTCGGTGGATTGAGTACTGGCCTGCAAACCAAAGGTTCACTGGTTCAATCCCCAGTCAGGGCACGTGCCTGGGTTTCAGGCTAGGTCCCCAGTGTGGGGGTCATGAGAGGCATACTGATGTTTCTCTCTATCTCATTCTCCTTCTCTTCCCCTCTCTCTAAAGTTTATTAAGAAAAGAAATAAAATCAGGGTGCTGGTATCCCCATTGTTACTGAGGTCATTGCCTTTAGGCCGTCCCAGTAGATAGAACTAAAGAAACACACTGCTATATATTTGTGTGTATGTACATTTGTGTGTGTACATGTATGTATATAATCATGAATCACACTGATAATTCTCATTTAAATCCAACACTTTGGACTCATTCTAGTCTTCCCCCTCTCCATATTTCTTACTCTGTTCTCCATCACTGCCAGGATTTCTCTCCCATTATCCTAAAAATATTTACTCATTTTCTCCACCCCTAGAATATGCAGAAAGGAATTTCAGGGCAGCTAATCCATGCTGTTGTGAAAAACTTACTGACTAGAGTTAATATTCATTTATAGTTCTTTTCATCCCAAATGTTAGAGTGTAAAGTTAAAATACTGTGTTGAAAAGTTACATGGAACAGTTTCTAAGATCACTTTTTTGTGGTTATGAATAATAATATAATAATATAATTAGCTATTTTCTGGTTATATTCTATTTTAGAATTTCTGCCTATGCTTGTTGATGTTATTTTTTTGTATGCAAAACTTCAGTGTGGTTCTAGATGTCAAAACTATACTGAAAATTTTGTATAGTTTTGTATGGAATTACTCAACAAAGTAATTAATTTGATTTTTAGTTTTAGACTTTTTATAAAAATCCCAACAGTTGCATTTAATATAACAATGCAGCATCATAACTGAAATAGTGTAAATTGGTATACCATCAACCTATTTTTATGAATGGGGATGACTGAGGTTGTAGAGGGAAGAAACTGATTTTACCACTGTTTCTGAAAGGGTTGAAATTTCTATTTTCTATGCCCATTCATGAACATGTAGTAGGGACAAGGACAGTTCCTTTTATTTTTTTAAAAAAGGTTATTTTATATATTTTTGATATGCAAAGGAAAAAAATACACATGTTCATTAATGATACATTATACCACAGTGAAAAGAAATGATCTAGAGATACAGTTATCAGTGTGATTGAATCTCACAAATACAATGTCAAATGAGAAATCTGATCGTAGAAAGCAAACAGTATAATACATAATAAAATTAAATGATATAAACAAATAAGTTTCTTAGAGGTACACACTTAGCAAAACTGTGAAGAAAAGACAGGGAATACTAGACAGAAGATTTAGTATAGTAGTTACTTTAAAAATTTTTTAAAAAATTGTTGTTCAATTACAGTTGTCCCTATTTTCCTCCATTACTCTTCCCTCCCTACTTACCTCCCATCTTCCCCTGTCATTCCCCTCCACCCTCGTCGTTACTTCTTGGTGTGAAGGAATATTTGGTCAGAGAACGGTAAGGAAGCTTTCAGCAGTGTTGATAGTATTCTCTCTTAAGTCTGGTGATGGATATGAACCTTCAGTAAAGTTTCCTATCCTTTGGTTCACAGGCTGTGCTCAATCCACTGAGCTACACCAACCAGAGCCAGTTTCATTCATTTTTAATTTTTACTTTAATCTGCTGTAAACACATCTGAGATTGTATTTTTCATTTCTACAATTTCCATTATTTGGTTATTCTCTCTCCTGCTGAAATTTCCCAGCTCTTCGTACATAGTCCACCTTTTCTGCAAAATTCTTTATTTTTATTTTTTTCCATTAAATCCTTTTGCATTTTTATAATGAAGTCCCTGTCTGATAATTTAAAAATCTGGGCTTTTCTCCAGGTCTATCTTTTATGTGTTTCTCTTTTTAAATATGTACCATTCTTTTCTTTCTTTGTGTGTATCTTTTATTTTTTGATTTTATGCCAGACATTTTATATAAATGAATAGTAGAGATAGGAGCTAATATTTACCTTACAGTGGTTTTACAGATTCCTAACACCCTGTATTATTTTTAACTTTAAAAATAATTGTTATGCGCCCGGGCTGGTGTAGCTCAGTGGATTGAGCGTGTGCCTGCGAACCAGGTAGTCGCGGTTCGATTCCCAGTCAGGGCACATGCCTAGGTTGCAGGCCGGTTCCCTGCAGGCCAGTTCGCAGCAGGGGACGCATGAAGGCAACCATACATTGATGTTTCTCTCCCTCTCTCCTTCCCTTCCCCTCTAAAGATAAACAAAAAATCTTTTAAAAAATAAATAAAGTTAATTAAAAAAAAATAAAAATAAAAATAATTGTTATGCCCTGGCTGGTGTAGCTCAGTGGATTGAGCACAGGCCTACAAACCAAAGGGTTGAGGTTTGATTCCCTGTCAGGGCACATGCCTGGATTGCAGGCCAGTTCCCAGCAGGGGACGCATGAGAGGCAACCATACATTGATATTTCTCTCCCTCTCTCCTTCCCTTCCCTTCTAAAAATAAATAAAAAAATATTTTAAAAAATTGTGAGGTATGACATACAGAAACCTGCAGAAAACATAAATGAGTATATCAGTTTATTTACACCCCCATTGATGGATTCCTGGGTGGTTTCCAGTTTGGGGCTATTATGAATAAAGCTACTTAGAACCTTCTTGTAATCTTTTTGTTGAAATATGATTTTTATTTTCTTGGGTAAATATCTAGGGGCCGAGGAATTTTTCAGAATATATAGCCATCCTCCCTCTTAGTTTTTTTTAAAAATTTTATTTATTTATCTTTAGAGGGGAAGGGAAGGAGAGAAGGGTAGAAATATCGATGTATGGTTGCCTCTTGTGTGTCCCCTGCTGGGAACTGGCCTGCAACCCAGGCACGTGCCCTGACTGGGAATCAAACTGTGGTTGCTTGGTTCCCAGGCCCGTGCTCAATCCACTGAGCTACACCAGCCAGGGCCCCCCTCTTAGTTTTATAAAGGGTAATTGACATTCATTACTGTATAAGTTTAAGGCACACAGTATAATGGTTTGACATACATATATTGTAAATTACTGTAATCACTTAGTATCTATCATCTCATGGGTGAAATAATGAGAAAAAATTCTCTTTGTGATGAGAACTCTTACAATTTACTATATTAACAACTTTCCTATATGTCATACAGTGTTTTAGCTATAATCATCATGTTGTACATCATGTCCCTAGTACTTCTATCTACTACTGGAAATTTTGCCTTTTGACTACCCTCCTCCAATTTCCCCTCCACCTCTGGTAACCACATGAGTTTGGTGTTGAGGTTTCTTTTAGGTTTCACATGGAAGTGAGATCATATAGTACTTGTCTTTCTGCCTGATTTATTTTGCTTAGCGTAATGCCCTTAAGGTCCATTAATGTTGTTGTAAATGGCAGAATTTGTGCACGCTCTCTCTTTTCATGGCTGAATAATGGAATATGTAGTTTCTCAATCTGTCTTTTCAACTACCTCCCTAGGTGACTCTGTTGTGACCACATCAGAAATCAACATGTGGAAACAAACACTAACGCATGTGGTATTCGGAGGTAGGGGGCAGGAGGGGATGAGAATATGAGGGGAAAAGAGTTGTACAACAGAGTGTCCCAAGGTTGCAAAACGTTTATAACCAATTTTTTTTGGTATGGTAACAGCGAGGGTTGAGGAGAGGGCCAAGAAGATACCCTGGGTTTCTGGAAAGGTTATTTATTCAGAGGAGCCAACAAAACTAAACAAGTTGTTCAGAGTGGGGCGGTGAAGTGAGATTGAGCAGAACTTCCACTCACTTGATTGTGTTTTAGTTCCAAGGGACCGCTAGGTGGCAACTGTATTCCACGATGAGTTTTCATTAGCTCTTGGGAGGAGTAAGGGAACGTGAACTGTGTCAAGGTCAAGTCATGAGAGAGCTGTTTAGCCTTTGTTCTCTTTGATCCCCTTCCTTTCTCTCTTCTAATAACCCCAACTTTAGACATAACTTAGATACAAATAGGTTCCCTGACTTCAGGCAGCCTAGAGTCAGGGCATCAAAGGTTCTCACTTGACACCTGTGTGATATTAGGTTTATTCATTAATTCAATAACCATTGAGTGTCTGTCACACACCAGGCACTATTTTACACATAGGGGATTGGAATCCATTAGAGAACAGTACAGACCAAATCTCTGCCCTCAGGTAGCTTACATTTTCTTTATGTAAAGGAAATCATACCAAGTACTGTAAATAGTGATTATATGGTTTCATGCCAATGAATTTGATAGTTTGCATGAAATGCTTGATTTCTTGAAAGTCACAGTTTATCAAAACAGAAATCTAAAGTCTGAAGATTCTAATAATTACGAAAGAAATAGAACCTGTGATTAAAAGCCTTCCTGTAAAGAAGACCCAAGACCCAGTGGGCTTCACTGGTGAATTTCTGTAAACATTTATAACACATATAACACCAGAGAATAGGATCAGAGGAGTCATTTCCCAGCACTTTTTAGGCTATTATATGTTTCATATAAAACCTGACACAGACATTAGAAGAAGGTAAAAGAACAGATCAATTTTACATAACCATAAAGTGAGAAATTGCAAACCAATCTAGTGATATTAATTAGAAATATATATAATCAATCATGACCAAGTGTAGTTCATTCTGGGAATATGTTGGTAGCCAAACATTAAAAAATAAATGTAATTTATAATGATGTAAATGAAAGGATAAATATAATATAATCACCTTAATGTGTTCAGAAATACATTTCACACACTGCAGTAGTTATTTATAAGTTAAAAAGGAAGAAACTCCTTAGTTACATGGGAGTAAAAAACACTTCCATGGTCTGATAAAAAAAAAGGGCTTACAAAAAAGCCACAGCAAATATCTTACTAAATGGTGAAATACCAAACTTTTCCCCATAATATACTCTCTTATCTAAGCTTTCCAGATTCCCCATTATTCACTTCTCTTCCCTTGTACTCTTTCCCACTTCTACTTACCTCAGGGTATAGCCCGAGGTACTAAAACCAGAAAGGACACCAGTATACCCTTATGTCCATTTTCTTTCTCACCATTCAGGGGGCACCAAAGTAGGATGAAGCAGGAACTGGGAGCAGGGTAGGCAGAGTTCGAAAATGTCCCCCAGCCCCAGTCACATTGCCTGTAACTCAGCTTCTATAGAAGGGGAAATAGATTTGGTTGTTGTTGTCACTGGTTGGAGCTGAGTCCTCTATTGCGGCTGAGTCCTCCGTCAGGGCCCTCTCCAGACTGGCTGGTAGGGAGTGGATTAGTCTCTCTTGGAAGTCTTGGCCCACAAAAACATAGAGCATTGGGTTGAAGCAAATGTTGAAGAATGCCAAGGACCTCGTTAGGTATAACAAGATATTAGTGACTTTGTATTTACCCTCAAACGCTACCTTTCTGAGCCAAACTGTTTTCAGAAGAGCATTCAGTTGAAATGGCAACCAACAAATGAAGGAGGAGGCCATAACAGCAGTGAGGACCCATAAGGGACAGCTGGAATTAGTCATGTCTTTCTTTCGGATTTTGACAGAAGTGAGTCCATAGCAGATAGCAATGATGGACATTAGCATAGTGAATCCAATGGTAAACCGGATGATCCCTCTGGCTGTCAGCACAGTGATGGTTACCTTCATCCTCTCTTCAGTGGTGTTAGCCCAGGATGCAAAATTGAAAGTATAGTAGTTATTCCCTCTTCTGTTCCTTATAATAGTCATGAAAAGGAAAATTTGCGAGGAAAGGACTACTGCAAGAATCCAGGGTCCAGTGATTACTTTTGTAGCCAGACTTACAGTGTGGTGGTTCTGGACACAAATACAGTGGTCCAGAGCAATGAAGGCAATGAGGAAGACACTCCCTAACAGGTTAATGTCCACGATGATGTTAATTAACTTGCACAAGAACCAGCCAGAAGCCCATTGTTCTTTCATGGCCATTGAGATCATGTGGAATGGTAGAGTGGCAATGAAAGAGAAGTTGGCTAAGGCCAGGTTCAGGTAACACAAGGTGGTGATTGTGTGTGCCATCTGGAATCCAGCCACCCAGATCACAAGCCCATTGCCCAGGATGCCGAGGACAAAGGGGATCCCAGTGAGGTGATTTGGAGAGCAATAAACAGAGAAGACTCAGAGATTCTCATGAGATCCATTCAGAGAGATGATGGAGGAGTTGTTTTCCATCCTGTTGTCCACACCTGGAACATTTCAGCAACGGGATTTTGTCAGCTGTGAAACCATCCTACAGCATTTCTGTTCAGACCAACATGAACATGCACTATATATAGCTTCCTCACCAAACAGGATACCCACTCTACTGAACCTTGTGGTCATTTGGCAAACTCTTGGCTGCTCCCCTGGGAAAATACAGTTCTCCATATTTCCATAATTATTAATATGCATTCCACCTATTAGGCTGATTACCTAACCAAGAGGGTTAGAAGGCTCCCATACATCATCAGAATCCTGAGCTGAGGGTGTATAAACAACAGAAAATTGATGGGAGGCATGTTCAGCACAGTGAGGGAGGCACTAGACTCAGAGTCAGTAGAGTCCCATCATCTTCCACCCCTAACTCAATGCATAGATGCCAGCTGACTCTGCAACCTCTACCAGCACAAGTTCTGGCAGACTCCCACCCAGCTCCTGTCCCTTCCTTCTGTAAGAACCCTTGACCTATTGTGCTGTTTGTCTCACCATGTTCCTCTCACATGGCTCTTAGAGATGGCATGTATAGTCTCAGAGTATGGTTTGGGTTTATACTTAAAGAGGATCTTGAATAGGTACTGGAAATATGTTCCATCTTGTGGTGTCTGTGCTGCAGCAAGTCTGCAAAGGGGCTCCTTTTCTACATCGAACCCTCTGTTTTTCAGGGTCTCTGCCTCATATGGAGCTCTCCTCAGTTTGGGATGTGAAGAATTTTTATCCATTATGTAGCTTTAGTGTCTGTGGCATTAAGAAACAAGATTAGTAGGTAGTCAATATTTGTGTGGTTCTTATCAGAGACCATGCATTACTTTTAAGTGTGGGTCTAGTTACATATGCAGAGATCCAGTGTAACCTACATGCAACTCAATAGTGTCTATTGTTTCCAGTTTTCATAAGAGTAAATTGATATTCTGAGCAATTAGAAGACCTGCAGAAGTCACTAAAGAAATAAGTGGCAGAGGGGGGACTTCATTCCAGCTTGATGTGACATCCAAGTCCTTCCTCTACTACTCAACTGTGACAGACATTGCTGGATTCCCACCCAACATCCATTCTCTCATTCTTTGCTAACCAAACCCAAGTTTGTGTAGGTACTCAGTCTTTGGGGAAGATATTCCCCTCCATCTTTGGAGCCAAATTCTGTTTAGTCTCACTGGCAAATGGAATCCATTCTCTTTTTCAAAGGAGTATTTTAACAGTTGGTACATTTTAACAGTTGAATTCTTTGATCGGGGGGAATGTCTTGTACATGGTAGGATGTTTAGGAGCATCCCTGACCTCCACCTGCTACATGCCATTACCAGCCTCCTTTGGTTGTCACAACCAAAAGTCTCAAAAGACATTTTGAAGTGTCCCATGGGGGGAGGTACCCCACTTGAGGGTGCAGCTGGATTTAGACCACAGATTTCATAGTGTAGAGTGCTGGGCTGAGGAGGTAGGCCAATCTGTATTCTAATACCCTCACTGACACCTGCCCAGTGACAGTGATATAGCTGTGAATTTCAGTTTCCTCCTCTACAGAATAGTGTGACTTTGGGGTGAAGACTGGTTCCTAGGTGAAGATTAGCTAAAGATAGACATGGAAATCTTTTAGGCTAAACGGGTGCCTTCAACACATGGGAACTCTTGGTGCTCCCTGGGCTCTATCCTGTGTCCTGGGATTGAGTCCTGGTGTATACATAGTGGAAGCTCAAGTTCAGGTCAAGAACAATGCTTGTGATAATTATAATTACTGCTTATGAACCTGTTGTATGTGCCAAGAGCTCTTCTTCTTACCCTTGCCACAACTCTATACTCACAGCTCTTGAGAATTGCATGTGTGAAAGCATGTAAAGCACTAAGCATTCTCTGTGAAGTTTTAAATATGGATGATACCTGTTATAATTAGTATAACCATTGTACAGATGAGGAAGTGAGACTTAAAACTGGCTCTCATTACTTGTTCAAAGCCCCCAGTTAGAAAGCAGTAGGGCCCAAATTTGAGCTCCACTAGATAGGTTCCACCGGAAATGTGCTTTTAACTTTCTCCCACCCAGTATTTCCTCGACAGGGGCAGGTTCTCTCGACCCACCCACTCCGCATCCTACAAGGACCTCAGAAGATATAATGAGCTGGAAAATCTCTAAATTATTGGTTTAAACATGTTGACACAACAAGGAAGGATGATTGTGCAATGACAGATGGGGAAAGGCTAATGAGGCAAAGTTGCAAAATTAGGCGCCTGCTCTCTCAGTCCAGAGTGGGGGAGAACCTGTGTGCCCCAGATGGTACTCGGATGGATTACGATGCCTGCTATTGGTGACTCATAAAAGGTGCCGGTCATTGTACAATTTATCATCTCCAATGACAACATCCTTGGTTTGGATAAGTAAAGTCATTCATGACCCTGGAAGAGGAAGCAATCTGCCCAATATCACAATTACTAAGGGTGCAACTGGATTTAGACCACAGATTTCACTCACAGACTCAGTATTTCCTTGTTATTTTACTCTATTCCTTCATGATGTTTACATTTTCATGCTTTGAAGTAATTGCTTCAGTTCTGCTTTCTCTTCAAAATTCCTAATCTCCTCTGTACTGCCCTCGGATGATGCTCTTACCTCATATTTTAATGAGAAAATAGTAATAATTATGAGCGTTGTAACTTTCTCTCTCTCAAACCCTCCCATTTATCTGTACTTGTTACAGTGAACCCAGAGTTCTTGTTCCTTTCCCCCTTCACATTTGCTATGGATCCCTCTCTCTTCCTCATTTTCCCAAGAATTTTTCTCCTGCAGGATCACTTTTACTTTTTGCCAAAACATCCCCAAGGTTTTCTTTCTACTAGATTGTTGAGGTGGGTCATTCCCCAATACCCCCATTCATCCTGCCCTGTCCTATAAACTTCTTAATGCCTTCCATGTGGCATGGGAGATATCCATGTCATCTTGCTGCTGCCAAATCTGAGCCTTGTGTGTATATTCCCTTAATAAACTCTGAATGTAATGATGGGGCCCTCGGCCTCTTTTGATGGTCTCCTCACCAGAGAAAATTTACATAACACTCAGTATGACTCAGGGTAAGATAAAGCTGGAACTGGGAGCAAGGTAGAAGCTGGTGTGGCATCCACCAATGCGAGCAACAAATGGTCGGAAGCTTTCAGGAGTTTAAGATGGAACTTTATTGGCCAAAGTTTTACCTGCGCAGGGGCGAACTCTCGGGGTGTCCGGAGACACGGTGCCAAAATGGCTGCAAATGAGAGTCGCGCCTGGCGCTTATAGCCTAGGGTTTTTATTGGGGTGAGCAAGCAAGCAAATACAGAAGCAGACGTAGCTATTAGCAATTGGCTATCTCGAGAGAACACACATGGCTATGTTCTCTGCTTGCAACAATGGATACTTTTCTGCAAAGACAAGGTCATGCACAAGGCGGTTTATCTTGTTCAGCACTCTTTGTACTTTCTGTACTTTCTGTCTTCCTTGCTGAGACAGTCTGGAGCCTGCCTCGGGTTCCTCTTGGCTACTTTTATCTAATTCCAGGCTTAATACTGGCAGAGTGCAATGATATGCTCAATCACCTCTCATGTTCTGTAAATTGGTCTCTGTAGGAGGTGAAACAGATTTGGTTGTTATGTCACTGGTCAAGGCTGAGTCCTTGGTTAGGGCCCTGACCAGGCTGGCTGGCAGGGAGTGGATCACTTTCTTTTGAAAGTCCTTGCGCAGGAAGACATAGAGTATTGGGTTGATGCTGCTGTTGAAGAAGGCTAGGAGACTTGTTAGGGGCATTAGGTAAAAAAGGATTTTGTGCTTGTCTTCAAGCACTATCTCTTTGGCCCAAACTACAAACAGAAGAAGACACAGTTGAAAGGGGAAGCAGCAAATGAAGAAGGAGGCCACCACAGCAGTCAGGACCCAGAAGGGACGACGGGAATTAGTTATGCCTGTTTTGCAGATTTTCACAACAACAAGACCATAGCAGATAGCGATGATGGACATTGGGAATGTGAAGCCAACAACAAAGCGGTTGATCCCTATGGTTTTTACTGAGGTGAGCCATCTGTGCACCTTCTCTTCTTCAGTGATGTTCCCCCAGATTTCAAGGTCAAAGCCACAGTATACATTGTTTTCTTGAAGCTCTTGTGTAGTAAAGAAGATGAGGACTGGCGAGTTAAGGACTGCTGCAAGAATCCAAGGTACAATGATCACCTTTATAGTCCGACTTACAGTGCGGTGGTTCTGGGCCCAGACTGGACACAAGACACAAATACAGCGCTCCAGAGCAATGAAGGCAGTGAGGAAGACACTTGCATACAGGTTTGTGTCCCCCAAGAAGTTAATTAACTTGCACAGGAGCCAGCCAAAAGGCCATTGTCCTTTCCTGGCACTTACAACCATGAAGAATGGCAGAGTGGCAGCAAAGAGGAAGTCGGCTAAGGCCAGGTTCAGGTAACACAAGGTGGTGACTGTGCGTGCCATCCGGAATCCAGCCACCCAGATCACAAGCCCATTGCCTAGGATGCTGAGGACACAGATGATTCCTTGCATCACCAATGTGAAGATATGCAGAGACGTGTAGTCATTTCCCATCTTGTCCACACCTGAAACATTTCAGCCATGGGATTTTGTCAGCTGTGAAACCATCTTACAGCATTTCTGTTCAGACCAACATGAACATGCACTATATATAGCTTCCTCAGCAAACAGGATATCCACTCTACTGAACCTTGTGGTTAGCCACTATACATTTGGGAAACCCTTGGCTGTTCCTTTGGAAGAAGACAGTTCTCTATATTTCCATAATTATTAATATGCATTCCACCTATTAGGCTGATTACTTAACCAAGAGGATTAGATGGCTCCCATCCATCATCAGAATCCTGAGCTGAGGGTGTATAAACGACAGAAAATTGATGGGAGGCATGTTCAGCACAGTGAGGGAGGCACTAGACTCAGAGTCAGTAGAGTCCCATCATCTTCTACCCATAACTCAATGCATAGATGCCAGCTGACTCTGCAACCTCTACCAGCCCCGAGTTCTTGCTAACTCCCATCCAGCTCCTGTCCTCTTCTCTTTGAGAACTCTTGACCTATTTATTGAATAGTCTTTAAAGTTTTAGAGTGTGGTTTGAGTTTATAGCTGAAGAGGATTTTGAACAGTTACTGTTAATGTGTAGTAATAAATTACATCCTGTAGAGATTGTACTAGAGGAGGTAAGTCAAGGGGGCCCATTTCTGCATTCAACCCTTTGTGTCTCATTGTCTCTGTTTGATATGGACCTCTTTTCTGTTGGGTATACAAAGAATTTTTACACATGGTATCGCTTTTAGCATTTGTGGCATAGAGAATATGAGAGTCAATGCTTATGGGGTTCTTATTCGAGACCATGCATTGTATTAAGTGGGGGTCATGTTATATGTGTGTGTGTGTGTACATATATATATGTATATATATTCAGTTTGACCTACATACAACTTTATAATTATTATTATCTGCACTTTTCCTAAGAAGAAATAGCTATTCAAAGCAATTATGAGACCTTGAAGGTTAGTGAGGTGGTAAATAGTAGAGGAGGGACTTTAATCCAGCTTGACCTGACTTTCAAATCCTTCCTCCACTACACAACTGTGACGGACATTGCTGGATTCCCACCCAGCACTTTTCCCCCCACTCACTGTCAGTCAAACCCAATTTTGTATAGTTACTCACTCTTCAGAGAAGATGCTCCTTTCCATCTGTGGAGGCAAATCCTGATTAGCAGGCAGCTGGCAGCTGGCATTTGCTTGCTTTGCAAAGGATTGTTTTAGTAGTAAGACATGACTACGTCCTGGACAATAACACTAGGGGAAGGTATCTGGGTGAGTTTTCCCATAAATTTGCTTGCTATTAAAGAGGAGAATCAACAAAAGTGTAGTAGTGTCTGCCTCTGGACCAGGTCACATCTGTAACTATTGCCTCCAGGTTCAACTCAATGTCTGTGTGACCCACTTGTCCATCTCACTTGACCAGATTTCCTCATACTGCAGTCTGTGAGCTTTATCACAAACATCCAGGGCGGCCATTACAATGCACATTCAACTTCATCCTAGAATCCCTTTGCATAAAATCTAGGGTAATTTTCTATGGCCTCAAAATATAAGAACCATCTTAGCCTGGGCTCTTCTGCTTCCTGCAGAGAAACAGCCATTTTTGAGCACTTATGTACATTCAGTATTTGTAATAATATTGCAAGACACCCACTACCATCCCCCTTTCACAAAAGGGAAACTCTGGTCCAGGGATTGCAGCACTTTGTTCACCATGATGAGCCCAGCCAGTCAGCGGGGACAACAAGCTTTGAACCAATTCCAGAGTCACTGCCTTAGTCACTGTGAAGTGCTGCCAGGTTTTCCCAAGATTACCTGGGGATGATCATACCTTCCTATGACAGTTTGCCTTGTTTCCTTCCTCTTCTTTCTTTCGTTCTTTGCTTCCTGTCTGCACCCTGTCGCTTTGCTTCCTGTCACTTTCACCCAGTCATCTATGGGATGTTACTTAATGGAGCGCTAGGTTTCCTAATCTTGGCAACATTGGCATTTGGGTGGATAATTCTTTGTTGTGGGGGCCTGTCCTGTATATTACAGGATATTCATCTGCATCTCTGGCCTCCTTCTGCTAGAACTCAGTAGCCAGCCTTTCTAGTGGTGACAATCCAAAGTGTCAAATGCCCCCTGGGGAAGAAATCTGCCCCTGCGCCCCCAGTTGAGGGTCATTGTTATAGTGTTCTAATGCTGGGCTCATAGGTGAGGTCAGTCTGTATTCTAATCTCCTCTCAAAACCTGCCCAATATGGGTGTTTTTAGTCAGTGACATCTCTTCAAACTACAGTTTCCTCCTCTACATAATAGGGTGATTTACTATTGAAACTGGATTTGGGGTAAGAATCAGATGAAACTAGACATGGAAATCTTTTAGACTGAACTGGGTATTTTCAACTCATGGGAACTCTTGGTGCTCATAAGCCTCCGTCCTGTCTTCTGGGACTCTGTCCTGCACCATGCATTATAGGAGCTCAAGTTCAAGTCAAGAACAATGTTCATAATAATCATAATTACTACTTATGAACATGTTGTATGTGCCAAGAGCTCCTATTTTAACCCTTGCCACAGCTCCTCTCAGATGGCTCTTCAGGATTGCATGTGTGAATATGCATAAGCACTATACATATTCTGTAAATTTGTAAATATGGAATCATATTAGTTATAATTAGTATAACCATTGTACAGCTCAGTGGGTGAAGGCTTACTGGTTACATTACTTGTTCAAAACTCACAATTAGAAAGAGCCGAATCTGAGTTCAACATATGGATATCGCCAGAAATGTGCATTCACCCAATACTTCCTCAACAGGGGCAGGTTCTCTCTACCCACCCACTCCACATCCTACAAGGACTTCAGAAGATATAATGAGCTTGAAAATCTCTAAATTATTGGTTTAAATATATTGCTATAACAAGGATGAATGATTGTGCAATGACAGGTGGGGGGGAAGGCCAATGAGGCAAAGTTGCAAAGTTAGGGGCCAGCTCTCTCCATCAGGAGTGGGGAAGAACCTGTGTGCCCCAGGTGGTACTCTGATGGATTATGATACTTGTTATTTGATGAGTCCCTAAAAGCTGTCATTTTATCAGCTCTGAAGTGATCATCCTTGCTTTTAGATGAAATTTATCATCATGTAAATCAAGAGGAAACCGTGGTTCTGGCTCAGGAAGAAACCTGCCCAATGTCACAATTACTAAGGGTACAAGATTTAGACCCCATGTTTTACCTGAAAACTCAGTAGTTCCTTGTTATTTTGCTCTATTTCTTCATGATCAAATTTTCATGCTTGCAAGCAATTGTTTCAGTTTTGCTTCCTCCTCAAAATTCTTAACCTCCTTTCCAGTCTTGCTCTCAGCTGATGCCCATACCTCATATTTTAATGAGGAAGTAGTAATAATTGTTTGTGAACATTGTTGCTTTCTCGCTCCCCAGTGCTCCCATTTATCTGCACCTGTTACAGTGAATCCAGAGTCCTTGTTCCTTTCCCCCTTCACGTTTGCTATGAATCCCTCTCTCTCTCACTTTCCCAACAATTTTTCTCCTTCAGGATCACTTTTCCTTCCTGCCAAAATATACCCAAGAGTTTCTTTCTACTATATCATTCTATCACACAGACGTATCATCTCTCCTCCCTTCACAAAGAAACTGTCCAAGTTTCTTGTTCTTTCCAGAGAAAAGGACTGGGCTCAAGTTCTTTCCAGGTTCAGTCCTGCTCTCACAAGAAAATTCTCTCGGTGAAGGGGATTCACAGCCAAAGCTGGAAGGCAGTATCTCCACCTGTCACCTCACCTTTTCTCTTAAACTCACTGCAAACTAAATTGGGTCCTGAACACCCCATGGACTGTGCTCCCCTGAAGGACACTGATGGCCTCCATGTCCTCTGTTCCAGGGGTGCCTTTTCAGTTCTTACCTTGACAGCTCAGTGCTGTGGGACCCATAAACCCCTTTATTTTTCTAAAAACACATGTTCTTATGTCTTTAGATGATAAAATGCACACAGAACATACCCTTGATTGTCTTTATAGCCACCTAATATCCATCTTATTTACTTGCTTCTTCTCCCCTACATGTAACTCTAAGTGTTGGGTATTTCAGGTCATGTCCCTGCCTCTCCCTATTCTCTAATTGTTTCATAAGTAACATCATCTAGTCTCATGGCTTGTAATATTGTATTGATAACTTCTGGTTTATGTAATCAGCTTGGCTTCTCTTCACAGTTCTAGCCTGATACATAACCAACTGAGCCTTGACATTTCTTCATAAGAGTCCCATAGGCATTCCAAAGCTACCATTGCCTAACCCAAACTCTTAATTCTTCCATCCATTCATGCTATGCACTCTTGATATTCTATCTGAAGACTACATATTCAATTGTTAAACTTCCAAATCTAACACTTATCCTTGATTTCACTTTCTTTGGCCATCCAATCCAATCCAATCCAAGTCAATCAATTCTATCTACAAAGCAACTAAGTTGACACCTACAATAATTTTTATCACCTTCACCTTTGTTCAGAGTTCTTGTCTGGCTGTTTATTTGCATTAACCTTGCAAATAGCTTTGTTTTGGGCAATGATGCAGCACCCCCCAGTCCATTCTGTAGACATAAGACAAACGATCTTTTAGAAACACTAATCACAAGTGCTGGTGAGGATGCGGAGAAAGGGGAACCTTAGTGCACTGTTGGTGGGAATGCAGACTGGTGTAATCGCTATGGAAAACAATATGAAATTTCCTTAAAAAAAAAAAAGGAACTGCCTTTTGACCTGGCAATTCCATTGCTGGGACTATAACTCTAAGAATCCTGAAACACCAATTCAAAAGAACCTATGTACTCCAATGTTCATAGTAGCATTATTTACAATAGATAGCCAAATGCTGGAAACAACCTAAATGCCTAAATGAGTGGATCAAAAAAAATTGTGGTACATTTACACAATGGGATACTATGCAATGGAAAGAAAGAAGGAACTCCTACCCTTTGTGATAGTATGGATGGAACTAGAGAGTATTATGCTAAGTGAAATAAGCCAAAAGGTAAAAGACAAATATTTTATGACCTCACCTATAAGTGGAACCTAATCAATAGAACAAACAAGTGAGCAAAATAGAACCTGAGACAAGAAAATAAAAAACAACCTGACAGTGACCAGAGGGGAGGGGAGAAGAAGATAATGGGGAAAAGAAGGGGAAGGGTCCAGTCAAGGAACTTGTATAAAGGACCCTTGGAGAAGGACAATGGGAGAAGGGTGAGAAGGGGAGGGGAAAGCAATGGGGAAAAAATGGGGAGAACTGTAGTTGAACAGCAATTTAAAAAAAACAATAAGAAAAACTGCTAGTCGTGCCATATTATTCTGCTCAACACTCTCCAATGGTTTCTAAACTACTAACTCAAGCTTACTAAGCCCTCCTGGATCTGCCTTGTGTACCCCTCAGGCTCACACATCCACTGTCCTCTCACACACTGTGATGGATCTCCACTGGATTCTTTTCATTTCTTGAACATACCAAGATCATTGCCTTCTCAGGGCTTTTACATCCTCTGTTTCTTCTACATTCAGTGTTCTTACTTTCAAGCTTCCTACATCTGGCTCTTTATGAATATTCCTATCTCTGCTTAGATATTATGTCCTCAGAGACAGTCTTCCTGACCCACAATGCAAAGCAGCTAACCCTGGTACAGCCTGTCTCACCACATACTGTTCTTATTTGTTTTTCCATTTATATTTTTTATTCTAAATACCCTCCACATTTGTACATATGCTCCAAAGACTATAAAGTTTTTTCAGTGCTATATTTCTACAGTACCTCTGTCCAATAAAAACATAAATGTGAACCATAAATACAAGCCACATATGTGACTTGCAAGTTTTCACAAAGTAAAAGAAATTAATTTTAATAATACATTAATTAATTTTAATAGTATTTTACTTGACCCAACATATCAAAGAGAACATAGTTGGAACATGTAACTAATATAAGAATTATCAATGAGCTATTTTGTACTCTTTTTTGTACTAAGTCTCAAATAACTGAATTCATTTCTGACTATGGCACCTCTCATTCAGGTCAGACTTGCAAGAACTCAGTAACCATATGTGGCAAGCGGATTCTTATTGGGCAGCCCAGGTCTAGAGGTCAGAGGTATCTGCCCCACAGCAGATGTTCAAATAATAATTTTTAACTTGTCAGGCTTCGAACTTACCACCAGCTCAGATCCTGTTCCTGTGACCAGTTCTCGGCTTCCAGTGGAGTAACTCAGGCTGCAGCAGCTTCAGCAGATACTTTATTGATGGGCGAGGGGGAGGGACAATGGGATTTGAATTAATCAAGCGACAGAAACTCAAAGCATTGCATCTTTCAATTTCCATAAAGTACTCTTGATATACTGTCAGCAAACTATTTTTAGAAACTTAATGTCTTAATAGTCTCTTCACCTCCCACCTTCTGTGAGAGAGAGAAAGGTCAGTCCTCTAAACATCTGGGGTCAAGAATACTGGGTATCTAGTCCCCTTTTCTTTCAGAGATTCAGGAAAATAAACAATTACTGAGTTGAGAAGAATTAGGGTCATGCAAGAAAAAAATAGAGATGATGGTTAAACAAAAACTTGTTTTCATCTCACACAACAATGCTGACACCAAATGTGTGGGTTTGTTCTACACCAAGAAATTCTCCAATTCTCTGTGGAAGTGAACAGGGTATTTTACAATTCAATTCAGTCTGACACTGTTTATCTGCAATTAGGTCCAGATCCTACAAGGTAGAGAGCTCCATGCCACAAGGCTGCTCTCACTTGAGCTGGCAATTATAAGTATGAGGTGCCAACTATACTTCTTAATGAGCAGCTATAAGTCAGGTATTGCCCTTACCCTGTCCTTGGATTTTAAAATTTGCTTGAATGGACCATACAAATCAGGAGGACTATTTACATGTGTTTACAGGTTTATTATAAAGTATGTAACTCAAGAACAACCAAATGGAAGAGATACACAGGGCAAGGTATGGGGGATGTGTATGCACAGAGTTTCCATTTTCTTTCTGGGGGCACCACCCTCTCAACACCTTGATGTGTTCATTAACCTAGAAGGTCATCAGACCTCATTGTTCAAGAGTTTTTATAGAGCATAGTCTCCAGCCTGTCTCTCATCTTCTCTTCTCAGAAGTTGGTGTGTGAAGCTAAAACTTCCAAAGCTGTAATCACTTGGTCCTATTAAGGCTATGTAACTTACCTCATTAGCAAAAATCCTGGTTTCTCAAGAACCCGGGACAAAGACCAAATATGTTTCTTTTTCTAGCACAGTGGAGGTGAAAGATGTGGTAACCAAGAACAGAAAGAGAGGACTCTTCCCCCAACACCGTCACCAAAATTGAATCCCTAATCTTCTCCTGAAAGTGATAATCTGTGAGTCTGAGGAGATGAGCCTTTTCTGAGCTTTTAAATACCATCAGAATATACTATAGTGTTGTTCTCAAACCCAATGGATACAACCATGGGGAAAAGTGGTGAAACAGAAGACAAGAGTCCAAGAGAAACAGATAGAGGGTTTTTTTGTTGTTGTTCTCCTCAAGTTACTGTACAATTGGATTTTTTATGTATAACTTACAGCAAACCTGACACCATGAAAAAATCACTTAAACCATGAAAAAATATTATTTAAAAAAATTGGAAGTAGGTTCTGAATCTGAATAAAAATTGAGTTTAATTTAATCCTCCTACTTTATTATCCTGTTGGTTTTCTTTTTGGAAATTTCTTGAACATGACCACAAGGTGGCTGCCAGTGTTCCAGACATCACATCTACATAACCTTTGAAGCCAGAAGGAAGGAACTGTGCAGAAAAGTTGATTCTATTCACACACCTCTTTCATTTAATAGAGAAGGAAACTCTTTCTAGAGGGTACATAGGACCTCTTCTTACCTTTCACTGGCAGAACTGAGTTACATACCCATTTATAGGCCAATTTCTATCAGTTAAAAAATATTGGTTGACTAGATTGGCTTATGATGAAAGCATATTGCTGCCTGAATAAAATGGAGTTCACTTATCAAGGAACAAAGGGTGGTAGGTATTGTATAGGTATTGCTTCCACAGAGGTGCTCCCTTGCTGGCTTCTGGGACTAATCAGTCATGAGCTCTACCCTGGAGAAGCTGACCAAGGGGATGAAGATATTAGACAGTGAAGTACTTAGTCACAGAAGAGTGGGGGTATATGTAGTGATAGAGAGGTGCTTGGGTCATTATAGTATCCCCCCAAAGGAACAGCTAACTCAGATGGACAGGGTCTAGGGTCACTTCCTGGAAGAAGTAACACCTAGGTTGAGTTTCAGAGACTTGGATAAAGAGGAGAAAGAAAGTTGCATTCCAGGCAGAGGGGAGTGAAAATGCACAGGAACGGGCTAAAAAATTGGTTACATCCTGTTGTTGGGGCACATGGTGAGGCAGAGAGCAGTAAGTGATGAGTCTAGAAGGTGACCAGACTCATTGCTTAGTGGGTCTTGAATGCTACAAGAAGGACTTGGATCTTCTGATTAAGAAAATGAAAAGCTATTTAAGCAGGTCAGAGACTTGTTGAATGTGTGCTTCAGGGGGTAAAAAAAAAAAAAGTCCTAGATTCCTGCTAAGAGGTGGATTTGAGAATTTTCCCACCTAGAGGCAGAGATCTTAAGAGCAGAGGATATTCCATGAGCTCAAGGTGAAACTGTTGAAGAGTTCCCCAGGTCAGGAGTAGTATAACAGAGAGGAGGTGTGGTTTTGGGAGAGATTGTCCAGGCTTAGTTGATGGCTTTGGAGACTGGATGGCTCTGGGGAATTAAGTAGGAGGGCTCTTTATGAATCCCACATTTCTTTATTGGGGTCCCAGTTTCTATTGCAACATAATAAACCACCCAAACAGAAAATTATGTAAAACAACTATGTAGGGGAACACTCGTTTCTTCCCCTTGGTATGTTACTTCCCATATGTATTTCCTTCCCTTTTACATAGAACATTTTACTCTGGGTCACCGAAGATGTGTTGTTTTTCCCACGGCAAGCACACTTTCCCCACCATCTGGGTGTCCCACAATTTAACTCATTTCTGGAGCTAGCATCACATCTCACAGGTTAAGGGCTCAGTCCCACAAGACCCCCCATTGCTCTTTCACACACACTCTTCAGATGCCAGTCATGAGTACATGTCCCCTGTGCTTCTGACCAACCAGCTGCAGATTGCAGGTTCCAGTGACCACCGCCATAGTTTTTATTAATTTGCCAGAGTGGCTCACAGAACTTGGGGAGACACATGTATCAGCTTATTACAGGATATGATAATACAGATGAAAGTCAGCCCTGGATGGTGGCTCAGTGGATTGAGCACTGGCCTGTGAACCAAAGGGCCACTGGTTCGATTCCCAGTCAAGGCACAGGCCTGGGTTGCGGGCTAGGTCCCCAATAGGGGACCCTTTCCTATCTCTCTAAAAATATATAAAATGTAGCCCTGCCTGGTGTAGCTCAGTGGATTGAGTGCGGGCCTGTGAAGCAAAGGATTGCGGTTCGATTCCCAGTCAGGGCACATGCCTGGGTTGCAGGCCAGTTCCCAGTGGGGGACACATGAGAGGCAACCACACATTGATATTTCTCTCCCTCTCTCCTTTTCTTCCCCTGTCTGAAAATAAATAAATATTAAAAAAAGAAAGTACATTAAAAAATATATAAAATGTCTTAAAAAGCCCACTGTATATACATACATATACATATACATATTATATACACACATATATTTATTATCTCACAACTACTTTATTGTGTTCATGAATTATGTGGGCTGGAAATTAGAATAAGGCACAGAGAGGAGATGCTGTTTCTGCCCCAAAGACCCTGTGACAAATAAAAGTTTTATAAAATCCAAATTCCAGTGTCCTTAAATAAAGTTTTCTTGGCACATGGCCATGCTTATACGTATTGTCTATGGCTGTGTCCATGCTGTAACAGCAGAGATGAGGGTTGTAATGGAGACCCCAGGGCCTGTAAGACATAAAGTATTTACCTACCGTCTGGCTTTTTACAGAAAACACATGCAACCTCTGGGTGGAACGACCTGACCAGCTGCAGAACTAGTCAAGGACAGACTAGGGGGTCCAGCCCAGGCAATCTGGCCTCATCCTCTCAGGCACCATGATTTACTGAAAGATGTGGCTGTTCACAGAGGCCATTTCAGACATCAGCTACCAGAACAGTCAGGGATTTTTGCTGCACAGGTAAGAACTTGCCCCAGATTAATCCCAATGTCATTTCTCCCTTGTCCTTACCCAGTTTAGGCTGTGGGGCCACTCCCGAATGGGAGTCCATTTGAGACCTGTCTTCTTTTCTTCACCCTAGTCATATTGCTTTTCACCCATTTTTGCAAATTTTGCTTAATCAGGAGCCATTTGGTAGCAAGGAACAAAACCTGCTTATGTGTCAGCGAAGAGAGCTTATGGGGAACATGTAGGGGCATGCCTCAGTCCCAAGAAGAACAACCAGATTTTTCTTTTCTTTTCTTTTTCAATTAGAGTTGACATTCAACATTATATTAGTTCCAGGTGTACAGCATAGCAGTCAGACATTTATGTAACTTACAAATTGATCCCCCCAATGAATTTAGTACCCACCTGGCACTATACATAGTTATTACAATATTATTGAATATATTCCCCGTACTGTACTTTACATCCCTGTGACTGTAAGTGCCAATCTGTACTTCTTCATCCCTTCACCTTTTTTTTTTTAACCCAGCCCCAACCCCCTCCCCTCTGGAGACCATCAGTTTGTTCTCTGTATCTATGAGTACATTTCCAGTTTGTTCATTTGATTGTTTTGATTCCACATATTAGTGAGATCATGTGGTATTTGTCTTTGTCAGATTTATTTCACTTCGTAAAAACCCTCTAGGTCCACCCATATTGCCAGTGGTAAGATTTCATTCTTTTTTATGGGCAAGTAATATTCCATTATACATATGCATCACATCTTCTTCATCCATTCATTGATTCATGGGCACTTAGGTTGCTGCGGTATCTTGGCTATTGTAAATAATGCTGCAATTTTTACAGGATAGGAACTGGCTGAGAGCAGGTCTGCCTCAGGCTGGCCAGTAGCATGTCTTGGCCTCATGTAGGAAAGATTTCACAATGTGATGCCAGGTGATTTTGAGCATGTGGTTATTAAAGCTGGGAACAGTGGAACAAAGGAAGGACTCAGGGTGGAAGAAGTAACAGGAGAGAGCCTAGGCAGTGCTCTGCTTTGGCTTCCTAGAAATGTGATAGGAAAGACGTGAGCCAAAGCAGGCCTGCTTTTAGCGCACTGGGAAGTCAGAGAAAAGAGGGCCTTGGAGACAAGACCAGGGGGTTAGTCCAGGTTGAGCTGCCACTGCCCGCTGCTTCCCTGGCTGCAAGTCTCATGGGGACCCTTAGAATCTAGAAAGAATTAAAATGTTTATGACCAAGCAGGGGCATGGGCATGCTCTAGAGTGAGCCCACCCTGAATCTTTGTCCTGAGGGCTTTTTATCTCTTTTCTTTCGGTGAGAATCTTAGGAGAGGGTTTCAGCAGAATATTTATTAGCTTTCCAGGTATGTTTTTAATATGCTCATGCATCAAAATGAGCCTATGGGCGGACTCGGGGGAATTCTTTGGTCTTCTATACTATTCTACCTTGATCTTGGGTCTGTGTGGCTCTAATAGGGTGTTTGTCATTTGTTCCCCTGATCTCATCCATCCTTGGGCTTAGCTGGCACAAATGGCATTAGTTGGGTCTCTGTTCTCTGTTTTCCCAGGCCAGTGTGATTTAAGCTATATAATCTCTGGTTAGGGAGGAGAGGTATAGGGTCTAAGCCACTGCTTTCAACTGTCCTTGCTTAGGGGAGGCAAGGTCTTGCGATTCACTGGCTGGCTGTAAGTTGCTCAAGCTGTTTGGCCTTGTTTGATTTTCTTGTTTCAGTTTCCCTATTCTGCTTGCTCAGGAATTTTCCTAGCTCGTTTCTGTCCTGTTTCACAATGAACATGTGGGTGCATACATCTTTTCAAATTAGTGTTTTGGCTCTCTTTACGTAAATACCCAGAAGTGGAATTGCTGGGTTACAAGGTAGTTTTTATTATTTAAAAATTTTTGAGGAACCTGCGTACTGCTTTTCATAGTGGCTGTGCCAATATGCATTCCCACCAGCAGTTGCACCAAGGTGGCCTTTTGTCCACATCTTCATCAACACTTATGTGTTGATGTAGTGTTTTTTTTTAAAGATTTTATTTATTTCTTTAGAGGGGAAGGAAAGGAGAGAGGGAGAGGAACATCAATGTGTGGTTGCCTTTCCCGCGTCCCCTGCTGGGAACTGGCCTGCAGGGGACTGGCCTGCAACCCAGACATGTGCCCTGACTGGGAATCGAACTGCGATCGTGTGGTTCACAGGCCCGCACTCAATCCACTGAGCTATACCAGCGAGGACCGATGTAATGTATTTTTGCCACATATAATGCACTCCCATGTATAACGTGCACTTATGTTTTTGGCCCAAACTTTCATTAAAAAAAAAACCTCTTTGTTTTAATTTTTTAAATTCCATTATTAGTTTACTTATATCTAAAAGCAAAAGGGTATCATTTTGCATACGGATATCATTATTGCATTCTGGAGTTATACTTTTAACACACAAGCATAAATAAAAGAATTAAAACCATTTACATAGATACAGAATTAGCACTATCCACGCATAATGTGCATCCTTATTTTCCCCTAAAAAAAATTGGGCAAAAAAGTGCGCATTATACATGGCAAATTACGGTATTGATGATGGCCATTCTGATCGGTGTGAGGTGGAACTGCATGTGGTTTTAATTTGCATTTCCCTGATGATGAGTGATGTTGAGCATTCAGCCAGACTTTTATAGATACCTGGGAATCTGTCTGTCACTTACTCTCTGTGAGGTCCCATGTCTTTCATTTTTTTCCCGCAGCCTGTAGGCCTCTCTTCTCTATGCATTGCAGTGCCCTCTGCCTATTGTTCATTTTTTAAAAATATTTTATTTATTTATCTTTAGAGGGAAAGGGAAGGAGAGAGGGAGAGAAATATCAATGTATGGTTGCCTCTCGTGTGTCTCCTGCTAGGAACTGGCCTGCAACCCAGGCATGTGCCCTGACTGGGAATCAAACCATGATACTCTGGTTCACAGGCCCGCCCACTGTTCATTTTAATTCCCCACAACTCTGGCTTCCATTTGACTCTTTGTCACACCCACACTTGTCACCCTTCCTTCCTTGGCAGCCTTCTAAAATTTGTCTTTTATGTATAACCCCCAAGAAATTTTTGTACAGTACAAATCTGAACATAGCTCACTCCTGCCTGGAAATCTCCAGTGATTCCCTATTGAATCCACATTTTTCCAGCTTGGGATGCTGTAGTGTGAAGTTAGGAGCTATGGCAGCTATGTTGTAGCCATAAGGTGTCAATCTCCAAGAAGAAACCCACCATATTGGGGTTGATAAAGGGAAAGGAATAAAATAAATGCGGGTTTTGATTATTATTAGATAGAACCTAACCTAGCACTACCAGTCTCCAAACTTCTTGTAAACTATGAATGTTGTCCTGGTTTTAGCCATTGTGAGGTATAATTATATGTTATGAATTAGTTATAACTGAAAACATCCTAACTGATGCAAGGCCTTGGGGATAATGTGTTTAGGATGACTGCCCTTACCTCTGTCTCTGTCTTCCCATAATTCCTTGTATCACTTCAATATCCATGGATAATATAGAAAATTTGGGGATGACCACCATCTCTTTGGGCTAGAGGCCTAGCAGTGAGCTCCCACAGGAGCAGAGGATTGTGGGACTAGTCCTGGCAGTGGAGAGTGGGTGGGGAGTGCTCTGTTTGGTCCAATTGTCTCACCTTTTCTGCCTCCCATCTGGGAGCTCTCTCTGTGTTCCTGGTTCCTCTCTCCCTCATTGTCATCTCTGCCTTCCACTGCTTACCTCTGATTCTTCTCATCTTCGTACTGGCTCCTTTTCTTATTTATTCTGATTCACTGAGAGAGAAGGGTTCTGGACGCCCAGATCATTTAACCCTTGATGGTGAGAGGTTTGGACTCCACAGATTCCACAGAGGATTGAGGTTGAGAAAAACAGTTACTTGAGTTTCTAAATGGACCCAGTGTACTCCCTAAATGCTGTTAAAACAAGTGCCATATTGATTTACTTATTCTTGGTGTATTGAGGCCACAAAGAAGCACAAGGAGCCCTGGTTTCCTGTTACTCAGTTGTCTGCTGTTCACTCACCCCTCCTCAATTCCTCTTGTGGATATTCTGCTAAGACCATTAGAGACAGAGTTATTCTCCTCAGAAAGCCAGAATCTGGAACTGTCCAGATCACGGATCATGGTTTGTGTAGGGGCCAGGGAGCTCGACAAGGGCATACTCAGTAGAAGAGTGGGGACAAAGGACTCCTTGGAGGGAGTTCTAGAAAAACACAAGGTAAAGAAATGAATATGGCAAACACACACAACTCTTTCCAGATGTTTTGCTATGAGACAGAGCCAAGACATTGGTTAGAAACTGAAGAAGAACATGGAGTTGAAGGATACATTTTTTTTTTAAAGATAAGAGATTCTAGACTGTTTGGGGTGTTGATGGCAATGATGGAATGGAGAGGGAATATTTGTGCTGCAAGAGAGAGAATGAGTGAAGAAGGGAGATTCTTGAGGAAATGAGGGGCTGGGATTCAGAGGACAAGGAGAACATAGGTCTTGGGGAGGGATACTTGTTTTCTGGCCATGGATGTGGAAGCTGGAGCAGACAGGAGTGTGGATTTGGTGGAGTATACGGCGAGGACATCAGCTGTGAGTGGGCATGACAGAGGAGGTTCAGAGCTTTAAGGAGAAAGCAGAAGGGTCAAGATAATAATTCCTATGGATCATGGGGAAATGAATGTAATAGGGAAGCAGTAGCCTTGCAGAGCGGTGAGGTATCTCCATATGAAGAGACTCATCCTGGATGTTGTGTGGGACCCCTCAGCAGGACTCAGCTCCACCCTGTTAAAAGTGCAACCTTAAACTGTAGGCCAGTCACTTCTGCTCTCAAAGCCCAAGTCTCTTCTTCTGTCATTTGGTGACCGTGGCATTTAGTCAATTCTCAGCTAGTTGAGTTCAGAGGCAAGAAAGGTGTGAATTTGATACAGGGACTGCCCCCTAGAAGAGGCTCAATAAATGGGGCTCAAACCAGCATGATTTGTGTTGGTTGGAGATCACAGGTTTTCTCCTTTCTCCCAACTCTTGGCAGAGTCCCTTGCACACCTTTTTCTTTCTGGTGTGTCCCCTCCTGTCACTGCAGAATCTCCCTTATTCATTGCACCAACCTTTGTAAATGATTGCCTCAGAGATTCCTGAGAACAAACGTCCTTGGGGTAGCTCTGGGGTGAGGAGGTGGGTTGCCCAAGGCCACCAGCCTTGGAACCCAGGAGCATCTGGCTCCAGAGCTCATGCCTCCCAGCCCCAACCTGGCTGACTCCCCCAAACCAGAGCTAAGGTAGTCAGGGTGGGTGAAGGGTCCCCCTGTTGCCACCTGAGTCAGTCATGGATTTGAAGTCAGTTGCTGCTGGTTGAAGAACAGCTAACACCAAAAATTCCAGTGTGCCAGACAGGCGCTGTCTCCTGATGGGCAGGGCTCCCCTGTGAGGGACAGTGTGAGACAGTTCCATTTCACAGATGAAAAATAGAGGCTCAGGAGAATAAAACAGTGGTAAACGCACAATGCAGTGTGCAGATGATGTGTTAAAGAGCTGTGCACTTGAAACCTGTATGGTTTTATTAACCTGAACAAATTCAATTAAAAAAAAAAAGAAGAAGAAAACTCTGGTCCCTTGCCAAGAACATGCAAATAACTGGCTCCTCCCAGTCCCTCTGGTGCCCCATCCTCACATCTGCCTTCTGACTCAGACCTGTGTGGTCCCCCGGAGGCTGTTCAGGCCCTGATCTGTGGCGAAGGCCAGCCCGAGACTCAGGATGGACTATGGAACTTCAGCAGCGGAGTCGGGGAGGCACAGAGCCAGAGCATCATGCAAAAAAATACTGAGTCCTGCGAAATTTCCTGTCAGAGCTCAGAAGGGGGTGCACTGCAAAGGCCAGAGGCCAGGCATCAGCACACAGGAGTACAGGTCCCAGGTGCCTCCTCCTTCAGACCCAGGGGCAGCAGAACTAAGAAGATAAGAAGGTCGCTAAGAGAGAAGGGGCTGGGGGCTTGGACCCCTGGGTCTGGCATCTGGGACCTGCACTCCTGTGTGCTGATGCCTGGCCTCTGGCCTCTGCAGTGCACCCCCTTCTGAGCTCTGACAGGAAAATTTGCAGGACCCAGTGTTCTCTTGCACGCGTGCTCTGGTTCTGTGCCTCCCCAACTTCGCTGCTGAAGTTCTGTGGTCCACCTTGAGCCTCGGGCCGGCCTTTGTCCCAGACCAGGGCCTGAAGAGCCTCCAGGGGAGCCACACAGGTGTGAGTCAGGAAACTCCTCTTTCCAGGCCTCAGTTTCTCTCTCTGGCAAATGAAACCACTCCTGTCTTGCTTCCCTGGGAGAGGATAGACCTGAGAACCAGAAGTCTCTCTCTCCCTCCCCCTGACTCTTTTTGTCTCTGTTTTTGTCAGGGGAAAGGGTACCAGCATTGGAGGAAGCCAGGTGGAGGTGTCTTCAGCTGGAAGGACTGGGTTACGGGCACCCAGGGCCCTCCTTTCCTCCAGGCCCAGAGGTCCCACGGGCCTCTCCAGGGGCAGAACGGGGTATACCATCATCACCGCCTGCCTCCCTCCCTCTCTTTCAGGAATTCAGCAGGATCCGGGAGGCCTAGGTGTTTCCCAGAACGTGGTGTGTGGGAAGAACAGCCTGTGTAGTAACGGCAGCCCGGCCAGAGCTCCACTGAGGTCCGAGCCCTCTGAGTTCCTGGAAGTCCAGGGCGGTCTGCTCCCAGATTTGGGATCTTCGCTGATCTGGGATGCCTGGTCCAGGGTCCCACCTCACTGGGAGCTTCTCGGGCCATCCCTCTCAGGACTGGCCGCTCCGAGGGGTGGACACCAGTTTGCTGGGAGCTATGGGGGCCTCCCAGCTGCTGGGCTCTCCCTCCCACTCCTCTCTGTCTCCGTTCTCTGCTTCCCCCGCCTTCCTCCTTCCTCCCTCTTCTCTCCTTTTGTTCCTTTTTCTCTTTCCCCTCTACCATCCTGACTCTCCATCCCAACCTCACTCACTCATTTGACACATACGCACTGAGCACCTACTATGTTCCAGGCACTGGTCCAGACCCTGAAGAAACAGTCGGGAACAAAAACCAGGTAGACACTGTGCCTGGGGAAAGGTCATATGCCAACCAGAGAGACATCCATTATACAACAAAGGTAAAATAAATGGGCAAGTTATACTTTATGTAGGAAGACAATAGCTACGATGGAGGGAAAAAAAAAAAGAGAGAAAGTAGAGGTGGGTAGAAAGGATCAGGAGTCCCGGGTGGGACAGGGTGGGACAGGGGTCATGTTAAAGAGGGTGGTCAGGTGAGCCAGCCCCGCTCTGCTCCCTCTTCCTCCCTTTCTCTCTCCTCTGTCTCTCAGTATCTAGATTGTCCCCAAAGCACACCCCCTTCCCTGGAGGACACCTTGCAGAGGAAGCATTTGCCTGGACTAAGCATTTAACAAAACACAGACCTCCTCAAGTTACTTCCCTGGGCTCCTCGCCCCCGAGGCCAGTAATCATTAAGACAATAAAAGACGTCCCTGATAGAATGCAGATGTAGTCAGAACAGCTGCAGTGAATGAACCGCCGAGTGGGCCTGGCCCCTCTCTGCTGACCATCTTGTCTCCTTGCTCCTCAGGGCTAAGCTGGCTCTGCATGTCCCAACCCTAGTGCTTCTCCTGTTCCATAACTTCTAAGCTCAGACTCAGAGCTCACTTTAGCGCAGAGAAGACCCTGATACGACCCGCCACACAGTCACCCAGGCTAAAAGTCCTCAGCCTGTCCTTTCACGGTGTCCCTCACAGGTGCCAGAGCTGCCCCTCCCCTGCTCACAGCCCTCCCATGGCTCCCCAATGCCCCCAGACAAAGTCCTGTCCTTTGCTATGCACCCCACCCCAGCACACCTCCGCGTTTCACCATTGATGCTCCACATCAATCCATCCGTACTTTCTTGACTGGCCAGGGCATTCCTTGCCTTGGATATTTCTTCTGCTCCATTGTTCAGCCCCCACCTCCACCCCTGCCCTTACCCTGGCTAATTCCTCCAGCGCATCACCTCCTCCAAGAAGCCCTCCCTGACTCTCCAGCTGGGTTGGTGCATCCTCGAACTGGTCTGTGGCCCTCTGTTTACACAGCTGTCTCCTCTACCAGACTGGCATCTCCTCAAGGGCTAGGCCAGGTCTGAGTCATCTCCGATCCCGGCATCGCCCAGCTGGGAGCCCGGCTCATCCCCAGTACAAGAGATGTCCCTACAGTAAACACGTGTCCTGTTTTCTGCCTTTTCCCCATGTCTGCCTTACTATCTCCCCACTCTTGTCTCCTCTGTCCTGCTAGTCTGCAAACCACACCCTGAGGGTTTCTGATGATGATGCAAATCTTGGGAGGGCCACTGTGGACCCAGGGCAGGGACTGGAGATCAGCCCCATTGGAGCAGAGGGTTCTGGGAGACATGGCTGCTAGTGAGCGGAGCAGGAGGTAGTCCCACCACTACCAGTTCCTGCCTGCTGTGGGAGGGCCCACTTTCCCCTGTCCGTGTCTTTCTGTTCTGTCTTCTTTCCTTCCAGCCTTGGTCATTTCTCTCTGCAAGGGATTCTGGGAGCCTCGGCTTCTGGGTATGAGGGAGGAGGGGCTGGGGGCCTGGACCTCTGGGTCTGAGAGAGGAGGGGCTGGGGGCCTGGACTCCAAGATCCTTGAGGAGGAAATTATTGGGGTGTAAAGTCCTGGTCCCTCCTCCCTCATCCACACTCTGGTTTTAGAAACATCTGGTTTTATACAGCGGCTCCACCCAGCAGGGCAGGGTGGGGGCTGGATACTCAAAAGCCCAGCCTCTGAGTGGAGCTTGTACTTTCCCCCTAGCCCCACCCTGGGGTAGAGGAATCGCCGGCCCCTCCTGCTCTGGGCTCAGCTCCCACCAGAGGACCCATCATCCTGACACAGCCAGACACCAGGCGGTGGCCCAGACTCCCCGGCAACCCCGTCAGCACAGGCTGACTTTGCTCTGGTGGGTGGGCCCTGAATTGGCCTCCTTCCCCTTGACAGCCAGGCGCAGGCAAAGGCCCAACCTGGCGCTGGCCCTGCACATCCTGCCACTCCAGGAAAACCCAGGGAGTGAGGGCTTGGCACCTTGCAGGGCAGAGCTCCAGGACAGCGGGACAAGATGCAGCAGTGAGGAGAAAGGAGGACTTAGAGACAGCAAAACAGAGCAAAACAGTGAATGGGGCTGGGGGGCGGGAGCGGGAGGCGTGGGGGGAAGATACAGTGAAACATAAACAGAGGTGGAGCTTCAGAAAGAGATACACAGAGATGCAGAGAGAATGAGGGAGGATAGAGACCAAGATAGACAGAATGATGAGTAGAGGCAGGGAAAGGAGAAATAGGCAGCCACTGAGAGGAACAGAGAGAAACAAAAACTGGGAGGCAGGGGGGAAAAAAGAAAGAGATACGGTTATTCAGAGAGAAGGAGATAGAAATATATAGAGACAAAGGCAGAGAAACTCAAGGGGAGAGAGAGAGAAAAAGACAATGAATGTCAGAAAAAGAAAGTCAGCGAGAGACATTCAAAAAGAAAGAGATGCACAGAATGAGCAGAATAAGAACATCGGGAAGATAGAGCCAGAAATTTAGAGACAGAGAAACACAGAAATTTAGAGATGGAGTGAGCAGGGAGAGAGAGAAAGAGAGAGAGAGGTGAAGAAAAACAAACCCACAGAGAACGTGAGCTAGACAGACAGATGGACAGAGAAACAGCCAGGAAGGCAGAGACAAAATGATTGGCTCAGAGAAGGACAGAGACAAAGACAGAGAAGGGCATGAGAAGGCACAGGGATAAAGAATTAGAGTCAGCCCTGGCTGGTGCAGCTCAGTGGACTGAGTGCTGGCCTGTTAACCAAAGGGTTGCAGGTTCAATTCCCAGTCAGGGCACACACCTGGGTTGCAGGCCCAGTCCCCAGCTGAGGGCATGTGAGAGGCAACCTTACATTAGTCTCTCCCTCTCTCCTTCCCTTCCTCTTTTATTAAAAATAAGTAAATAAACGAATAAACAATCTAAAAAAAAAGAATTAGAGTCCCAGACGTAGGGAGGGAGACAGCTGTGGAGGGAGAGAGACGCTGGTTTTATAGTAAGAGGAGGAGACAGAAATAATCATAAAAAGAAAGGCATGGATCTTCTGATTCTGAGGGTCTGGGGGCTCAGATGCCACAGGCCCCCCCTTCCACTTGTACCTTTAGGCTGACTCAGTTTCCCCCAGCAACTCCCTGGGACAGCTGAGCAACAACTCTGAGATTACCCCCAAGCCCCTGGGCAGACAGACCAGTGCCTCAGCCTCCTCCTCAGCCCCTGGCACATACGCACGCTCACACCCACGCCCACGCGCGGGAAACACAAGGCCCCCGTCAGTTACACGCTGATGGGACACGTTCTCTCCCAGCTCCAGCTCCAAACAGCCATGCCTCACAACCCGGCGGGCACGGGCACGCCCACAGTCACGCACGTGTGTTCGTTTTATTCCATCTGCCAGTTCCCCAGACAAGTCCCTGGGGGACCCAACCCAGACCGGATTCTGGGGCTCGAAGGGGAGGGGATGCGGCGGGGCAGTGGCGGGGGGTGCGCTGTCGAGGGTGTGAAGGGGGAGGCGAGGAGAGCTGGGGAGGGGAGAGAAGTGGGGGATAAGGAAAGAGATGCGGGGGAAATAGGGATGGAGAGAAACGCAGGGGCAGGGGACGAGAGAGATGAGAAAACTGGAGAGGGGAGGCGAGTGATGGGGGAGACCGAGGAGGAGACGGGAGGGTGGTGGTGCTGGGGGAAGCCCGTCTGGGCGCAGGGGGAGCGGGAGGGGGGTAATGGCGGGAAGCGGGTGGGGCTGCCCGGCGTCCCTGACCTCAGAGCCCCTGGCCCAGCTCAGCCCTGACGTCAGCCCTTACTCCCGCCCCCGCCAGCGCTAGTCTTCAAATGCCCCCCCAGCTCCCGGGCCACAGAGAAACTCGGAGAGCGGCAGGAGAGCGGAGAGCCCGGCCGACCCGCAGCCATGAGACAGGTGTGTGCGTGATGAGACTGTGTGTGGGACTGCGGGCCGGGTGGGGGGGGAGGGGCGGAGGGGACACCACCAGGTGTGCGACCACGTGTGCGGGAGAGTGTTGTGTGGGCCCAGGTGTGTGTGACAGCAACCATCTGTGTGCGACAGTGACCACCCGAGGCCGAGGGTGTGGGTCCTGTCTGTGCGTGACCATCCCGTCTATGCGTGACATTTGACATGTCCGTGTTCCTGTTGCTATACATATGTGAATGTCTGTGTGCTGGAGCGGGGTTGGGAGAGGGAGTAAATGAGCGAGAGACAGACAGAGGGGCGGGGGTAGGTATTGGCTTGACACGTGGGCCTGAATTTCTTTCTCCGTGTTCAAGTCCAGTCACTCTTAACCTGTAAAAAATGGCAATTTCATGTGGTTCAAACTCCACTGTTACTATTTCTGTCCTGCTCTTCCAGACCCACAGGTGGGCGTCCCTGTGTCCATTTTCTCGTGGGCACCTCTTCCCGGTGTTGCTCCTTTCTGCCGAGAGGCGTTATGTCCCCAAGTTCACCTGTGTGGCTGTTTGTGGGGGTGCGGATCTCAGGATCACTAAGTTCTGCCTTAGAACAGGTGTCCGGGTCACTTTCGAGGACACGAGAGTTTTACTATGTGGGCACACTCTGTGTGTCCCTCGTCATGTGAGCATACACCTGGCTGTGTGCGTGTCCACGGCCGGTGCGGTTGTGGTTAAAACCCTGCGGATGGCTGCCCACTCACCTTGGTGATTTCCAGCATAAATCTGGCCACCCCCGAAACTTAGGCAGGGCTCGGTTTGGGACAAAGGCACAGAGCAGGAGGAAGTAATAATAATTGTTAATATTGCGTGGTGACTTGCACCAGGCTAAAAGCTCCACCTATAGCCCTGTGCTATAGAAACAGAATGTGAGCTACGCGTGTGATTTAAACAATTATAGTAGCTACACTAAAACAAGTAAAAAAGAAACAGGTGAAATTAACTTTGACGATATATTTTATTTAACCCAATGTATCAGGGTTTGGCAAGCTTTTTCTATACGAGGCCAGAGAGTCAATATTGGAGGCTTTGCCGGCCATGTGGTCTTTTTCGCAACTAAACTTCGGAACTGTGAAAGTAGCCACAGACAATATGTACAGATGAGCATGGTGGTGATTTAAGGATGCTGAAATTTGAATGTCATATAATTGTCATGTGCCACAAAGTAGGATTCCGCTTTTGACTTTTTCCAACCGTTTAAAAATGTAAACACCAACATTAGCTTGCGGGCCATCGTGAGAAAGACTCCAGGCATTGGGCCACAGACACACAGTGTGCTATATATCAAAATATTCTCGTTTTAGCATGTAATCAAAGCAAAAAGTATGACTGAGACATTTTACTTTCTTTTCATCATATTCAGTATTTTCAATGGAAATGCTTAACCTTTCGTAAAATTTACCATTGAAAAAGAACACAGATCCTACTTCTTCCACACAAAGAGCTTTCTAAGAACTGAACCGAGGATCATGGTTAAAATTGGAAGTAGTTTAAATAAAATAAAATGAACGATTTGTTTCTTTTGCCACACTGGCGGCATTTCAAGGGCTCAGTAGCCACATGGGGCTGGGGACTCCTGTATTGGACAGTACAGCTCTGGATCTTCGTGGCTCATTTAACTCATAAAAACCCAGGAGGTGAGGCCTGGTGACAGAGGAGGCAGTTTAGCCCAGAGGGGGACAAGGGAGCCAGGCTGCCGTGGGACCTTGGCAAAAGAATACACCTCTCTGTGCCGCAGGTAACAGTCCCTCCCTCCCTAGAGCAGTGTCTAGCACGTGGAAGGGGCTAGACTCCCACTTGACAGCCAAGAAAATGGAGGCACCCCTCCCCTCTTATTCTGGGCTCTTCCAGCCTCACAAACTGGGCACCTGGCCCTCTCAGGGAGTGGAGGAGTAAAGGAAGAAAACCAGCCCACGCCTGTGGGAGATCAGAAAAACCTCCTTCCCCAGTGAGCTTGGTGACTTGGAGCAACCCACTGCTCCTGGCTCATCGGCCCTTGGTTTTGCCATCTGTATGTTGGCTGTAAACATTACCTGGTCCTGCAGGGCTCTCCAGAGGAGTAAGCCCAGTATATTAGGTTGTGGTTTAGTGATGGGATTCTCAGGGTTCGAATCCTGGCTCCTTCACTTTCCAGGCGTGACCACAGGCAGGTTGCTGCACCTGTGTGACTGACTCATCTGTAAAATGGAGTTGATAATAATTGTACCTGTGGTCAGGAAGAAAATAAGTTAGTGTTTTAAGAGGTTTAGAGCAGCCCCTGGTACATAACGTGTTGTATTGTTCTTTTAAAAAATATTTTTTAAAATTTAGTTCTAGAGACAGGGGAATGGAAGGAGAAAGAGAGGGAAAGAACCATCCATGTGTAGTTGCCTCTTGTGCGCCCCTTACTGGGGACCTGGCCTGCAACCCAGGCATGTGCCCTGACTGGGAATCAAACCTGCAATTCTTTGGTTTGCAGGCCTGCGCTTAATCCACTGAGCCACACCAGCCAGGGCTGCATTGTTCTTTTAGATATATAGTATATTATTATTACTATTATTGTTCCAACACTAGGGAACCTTTGTGAGATGAATCATTATTTTACGTGCCACCGAGAAAGGGGGGACCCCTGTTAATTAAACTGTGACACTCCACTGAATGGAACCCCCATGTTTTTCAGAGCTGTTAAAATATGAGGGGGGAAAAAGACGCATTAGAATCAATATAATCAGGCTTTCGGCCTTGATAACTGCCACAATTATTTTCACTAATGAAAATAACTTCGCAGTACTCAGGAGATTTTCTTTACAAAACGGGGATGTTATCTCTGGCTTGGGGAAAATGCAGGAGGTCTCCCCTTTCGGAAAAGGCCTGCTACCCCCGCTCTGTTTCCCACAGGACGTGACCAAGCCCAGCCGGACAGCCCGCCAGTGCTCCGGCCTGGCCCGGAGGGTGTTGACCATCGTCTTCGCGCTGCTTATCCTGAGCCTCATCACCTGGGCCTACGCAGCCGGCGTGCCGCTGGCCTCCGATCGCTACGGCCTCCTAGCCTTTGGCCTCTACGGGGCCTTCCTCTCGGCGCACTTAGTGGCTCAGAGCCTGTTCGCGTACCTGGAGCACCGGCGGGTGGCGGCGGCTGCGCGGAGGGCAGCGGCTCGGGGACCCCTGGACGCGGCCACGGCGCGCACTGTGGCGCTGACCATCTCGGCGTACCAGGAGGACCCCGAGTACCTGCGCCAGTGCCTGGCTTCCGCCCGCTCCCTGCTGTACCCGCGCGCGCGGTTGCGCGTCCTCATGGTTGTGGATGGCAACCGCGCGGAGGACCTCTACATGGTCGACATGTTCCGCGAGATCTTCGCGGACGAGGACCCCGCCACCTACGTCTGGGAGGGCAACTACCACCAGCCCTGGGAACCTGCGGCGGTGGGCGCAGTGGGCGAGGGCGCCTATCGGGAGGTGGAGGCCGAGGACCCCGGGCGGCTGGCGGTGGAGGCGTTGGTGAGGACGCGCAGGTGCGTGTGTGTGGCGCAGCGCTGGGGCGGCAAGCGAGAGGTCATGTACACCGCCTTCAAAGCGCTTGGCGACTTGGTGGACTACGTGCAGGTGAGTGGAGGGCGCCCCCACCCCATCGTGACCCTAACAGCCCAGATCCTGCTTCCCCGAGACCTTTGTTCAATGTAGATTTGTAGTTCTTTACTTATTCCTCCATCCACCCATCCTATATGAGATCATACATGCCTTTATTTATTCATCCACGCAACATAGAGATTCCTTCCTTTCTTCATCCTATGTAGAAACTCTTCTTAATGTGTTCATTTCTAAATATATCTCTCTATCTAATATGGAGATTATTTATTTATTCATTAAATTGAGAAGTAATGCCTTTTTTCTCTTCCTTCAGTGTTGAAATTCTCGTTTATTTTTTTCATCCATTTATCTATCTATTCGATGTAGAAATTAATTTGTTCATTTAGTCATTCACTCATTCAAGGTAGCGATTCATTCATTAACACATTGCATTAGTTTTCTATTGCTTCGTAGTAAATAAACATACATTTTGCAGCTTGAAACAAAACACATGTTATTACCTTATAGTTTCCATGGGTCAGGAGTCTGGGAAAAGCTTAACTAGATCCTGTGTGCAGGGTGTCACCAGGCTGCAGTCATCAGTCTTATCTAAGGCAAGGTGGCCTCTTCCAAGCCCATGTATTTGTTGACGGAATTCATTTTTTTCCACCAGCCGTCATAAAACTCATGGTAGCTTGCCTCTTCCAGGCTAGCTACAGAAAGTCTCAGACTTCTAGACCCTCTATAAAAGCAGGGTTCACCTGACTAGGTCAGCCCACCGAGTATAATCCCCTTTGATTAATTAACAGTCAAGAGATGAAGTGACTTAATTACATTGCAAAGCATTGTGTTTCCATATAAGGTCATAGAATCGTGGGGGTGCTATCCCGTGACTTTTGCCATCTTCTGTTGGTTAGAGCAAAGTTACAGGTCTTGCCCAAACACCAGAGGAGGGTATTATATAACAGCATAGGTCTTGGGAGGGTTAGGGGTCATCTTAAAATGTGACTAGACATTGAAGATTCCTAAAAAATCAAGGTTATGTTCAAACCGGCTGCAATGTGTCCCACTCCTCACCCCGCCCCCCGCCCCGCCCTTAGTGCCCTTCCCTCCATCACCAGCTCTGTTCAGGGATCTGGCCTGATCCTGACCTCTTCTGCCCCACAGGTGTGTGACTCAGACACAAGGCTGGACCCAATGGCACTGCTGGAGTTGGTGCGGGTGCTGGATGAGGATCCCCGGGTAGGGGCCGTCGGGGGAGATGTGAGGATCCTCAACCCTCTGGACTCCTGGGTCAGCTTCTTAAGCAGCCTGCGGTACTGGGTAGCCTTCAATGTGGAGCGAGCTTGTCAGAGCTACTTCCACTGCGTGTCCTGCATCAGCGGTCCCCTAGGTGAGCTGGGAGAGGGCTTGGGAGGGCGATGGGTGGGGTGGAGAGGGAGAAGGGGTGCCAAACAGGTTGAGGATGTGACTGAGATTGTGGACAAAGATGGGGCTTGGGCAGGAATGGAGGATAGGGATACGGTAGGGAGTCTGAACCGGGGATGGTGTTTGGTGTTGGGAATGGGTTGAGGAAAGAGTGGGGATGAGCACTGAGCTGGAGGGGAGAGTTTGGGAAAGGAGATAAATGGGTTTGGAGTAAAGGTCAGGATTGGGAGGCCAGGTTTGGGGTAGGAGACAGGTTTCGGATATGGATGAGTAGGGGTTGGGTCAGAGGATAGATACAAGATTGGGGAAGGGGCTGGAGTAAATTTGCTAAGTGGACATGGGTCGAGGACAGGATTGGGGCAAGTCCGAGATGGGGTGGGGTTGATGAAGGATTTAGGGTTGAGAATAGGATAGGGGCTGGAGTTTTGGCTGGAAATAGGGCTGAGAATGGGATGGAAGTGATTAAGGATGGGGTTGGAATTGGAGAGGAGTTTGAGTTTGAGATAGAAGTGGGGATGGTGTTGATGACAGCAGAGGCTGATACCCCTGTACCTGCACCCCCCTGCCCCCCGTCCCCCAGGCTTATACAGGAACAACCTCCTGCAACAGTTTCTTGAGGCCTGGTACAACCAGAAGTTCCTGGGCACCCACTGCACTTTTGGGGATGACCGGCACCTGACCAACCGCATGCTCAGCATGGGCTACGCCACCAAGTAAGCTGGGGGAACAGGTAGTCAAATGTGTGTGAAGATCAGAGTATTTCAACAAATGTGTGTGTGTGTGCGTGTGTGTGTATTCTCCAAGCTCAAAGTAACTTGCAGGACAATGGACCCTTAAAAGTGGCTCATTAGAGGAGAGAGGAAGAGACCATAAGGGCAGAGGTAGCATTTGCATGGAATCATGTGAACCAATGGACTCTACCAAGGGAGGCAAGGTGAGGGTGGGGAGTCCCACCCAGAAGATACAACATGATGTGGGCGAGACAGCTCTGTTGTGAAGAGCGCAGATTACCATGGCAGCACAGTTACTGTCAGTGAGGTGGGAAGGGGAAGAGATAAATAGACAGAATAGGATCTAACCAGTGAGGGAGCAAGCGGGAACTACGTGACAGAGGAGGAGAGTGCCTAAACTAGTAAGTGCTTCAGGAAGAGGTGTCATTCCACAAGACCCAGGGGAACATGGGATAGAGGAGGGGAAAGTGATTTCTACAAAGCTAGACCCAGTGGAAGAGCCAGGAAGAACTTGGGGTAAACTAAACCCGTGCATTCACTCACTCAACAGATATTAAGTGCCTACAATATTTTTTAATTTTTGTATGTATTGATTTGAGAGATAGAGGGAGATGATAGATAGATAGATAGATAGATAGATAGATAGATAGATAGAAAGATAGAGATATCACTTTGTTGTTTCACTGATTTATGCATTCCTTGGTTGTTTTTTTTGTATGTGCCCTGACCGGGGATTGAACCCACAATCTTGGCATATGGGGACAACACTCTAACCAGCTGAGCTACCTGGCCAGGGCAAGTGCCTACAATGTTTTGAGCTCTGGGAATACAGCAATTAACAAATGAGAAACAAATTCATGCTTATGTTGACTGGGGAGACAGAACATGAAGTAAGAAAAGTGTAGAACATACACAAGCTATGGCTAAATAAAGCCAGGAAGGGCGATAGGAAGTATAAAGGTAGGAAATGAAATGCTAAGTAGGGGGCTGGAGGAAAGACAGGGATGGAGGCTGAAAATGGTGCCACTGGAGGAATAGCAAGGGGAGGAGGGGTATCAGGAGAGGAGGACAGAGTGAACAGGGAGTCAGCTCTCGAAAGGCTTGTGGGCCGGGGTAAGAACTTTGACCTAAAACGAGAGAGGGTTTTCAGCAAAGGGGTGACATGTTGTTGCAATAGGATTCCTCTGGCAAGTGTTTTGAGTACAGACTGTAGGGGGTAAGGGGGTTAGCAGGGAGGCCACTGAGGATGCCAGGTGACACAGGGGAAGGAGATTGGACACTGTTAAGTAATGCCTGTGGGGACAGAATAGTTTGACCCCTCCAAACAGACTGACTGCTGGTGGCCATCTGGTGATGTCCCATCAAAGAGATTCTAGCCTTGTGTGGTTGTGGCTGGAAACCCAGCAGGGCTTGATTAGTGATCACAGGAAGGGAGGTTTATGGTTCCCTCGAGAAGGTCCAACACATGCGCTGTTCTGGGTGGGAACCATGTCTGGCTTGTTCCTCACCATGGGGCCTGCCAATAACAGTAAGCACAAGAGTATTGGTAATAGGTTAGTGACAGTGTTAGTAATAACGTTAGTAACCGTAATGATATTAGTAATGGCAATAGTGTTATTAGTCATCGATTACACAGAAGCACATAGCAGTTGCCATTTACTGAGCAAGTACCATATACTGGTCCTAAGAACTTGGCATTGAATCTTCACAGTTAGGTAGGAACCATCATTAACATCATTTTACGTAATGATAACACCCAGACTCAGAGAGGCTGAGAAAACTTGCCCAGGGGCCACGTGCAGTGGTCAATTCTGCTCCCGATTCCTGTCCCTAAGGAAAGCCATGCTGATGCCTACTTCTTTCTCACCTGTCCAGGTACACCTCCAGGTCCCGCTGCTACTCAGAGACCCCCTCGTCTTTTCTGCGCTGGCTGAGTCAGCAGACGCGCTGGTCCAAGTCGTACTTCCGCGAGTGGCTGTACAACGCGCTGTGGTGGCACCGGCATCACGCGTGGATGACCTACGAGGCGGTGGTCTCCGGACTCTTCCCCTTCTTCGTGGCGGCCACGGTGCTGCGGCTTTTCTACGCTGGCCGCCCGTGGGCGCTGCTGTGGGTGCTGCTCTGCGTGCAGGGTGTGGCGCTGGCCAAGGCGGCCTTCGCCGCCTGGTTGCGCGGCTGTGCGCGCATGCTGCTGCTCTCGCTCTACGCGCCCCTCTACATGGGAGGCCTCCTGCCCGCCAAGTTCCTGGCGCTGGCCACCATGAACCAGAGTGGCTGGGGCACCTCAGGCCGGAGGAAGCTGGCCGCCAACTATGTCCCTGTACTGCCGCTGGCCCTGTGGGCGTTGTTGCTACTCGGCGGCCTGGTGCGCAGTGTGGTGCATGAGGCCAGAGCCGACTGGAGCGGCCAGTCCAGGACTGTTGAGGCCTACCACCTGGCGGCGGGGGCCGGCGCCTACGTTGGGTACTGGGTGCTCATGCTCATGTTCTACTGGGTGGGCGTGAGGAGGCTCTGCCGGCGGCGAGCCGGGGGCTACCGCGTCCAGGTGTGAGTTCCGGTGCGCGGGTGCTGACACACGGGTCTTCACGGGAGACAAGAAACCAATCAGGTCCCAGGACTGACGAACTTATGGGTGAACTCTCTGGGCCTCAGTTTCCCCCCTCTGTGAAGTGAGGGGGGTCAACCCAAGATTCTTCAGCCTGGATTGTTTTGGGGCTGGGAATTCCGGGTCTCTGGGGAGGGGTATTTATTGATCAGGGTGTGGATTTTTAGGGGTAGGGGGAAAGGGGTCTCCATATACTGTTTTGGGGCCCCCACTTCCCCCCTGCTCTTATTTAATCTCCATTTGTACTGTGTGATTAGGATATAATAAAGAATTTTATTTATTTTCTTCTGGGCCTCTCCCACCACCTTTTTTCTTTTCTTTTCTTTTTTTTTTAATGGAGGGGGTTTTATGGTTGAGAATTGGGGACTCCTGGCTCAGCCTTGGGTTCCAGGTGTTTGAAAGTACACAAGATACCCTCTTTTCTCAGTTCTCTTGAAAATAGGAACATTAATCCTGTGGGTCAGGGTTGCTGAGGGTAGAATTTCTCAACTCCTCATTCACAGACACTAACGGAACCTCCACTGCATTAGGACTCCATACTGTGGATGGTGTCTTCCTGGTCCACTCAGAAGAAGTGTCGCTCATACCTTCTCTCCCCAAACCCCCAGCACCTCCTCTCCCAGCCTCAGTTTCTCTCATTGAGAAAACAAGTGACAAGAAGAAAACCTTCCAAGCCCCCACCTCCAGGATCCTCACTCATCTGTACCTGGGCCCACACAGGCCACCTCCCCTCATTACTGAGGGTGAACTGTCTGTGCTAAGCGCCAACCCCTTCCACTTGACATGCTTTCTTCTCTTGGCTTTCAGAATGCCCATGGCCATGCTTTCTCTTTTCCTTCTGGGTTCCTCTTAATGCCGCCTACTGCTTCACATTGGAGAAACTTGTCTTCCTATCCACCTACACTCATTTCCTCTGTACACCCAGTATTCTCGTGCTGAACACCTCATCCGTGCTCCATGTGGAGAGAAGGGACTCGAGTTTTTCATCCTCGGAGGAGAACACGCACCTGAATTCCAGACTTAAACACCAAATTGCCTCCAAGACATTTCCATGTGGCTATTAAACAACCTGACCCAACTCCTGATCTGTGCTTCGCATCCTTCTCTTTCATCCCCCGTGAAACCTGCTCCACACCTCAGTAAACAGAACTCCATCCTTCCAGCCGCTCAGGCCAAATATGCTAGAGCTGCACTGTTTACAACAGTAGCCACTACTACACGAGCACATTACATTTTCTTTCCATTCATTCATTTTTTGAATCAGTCACAAAAACATTTACCAAGCATCCACTGAATTCCACACCCTTGGCCAGTTTTGCAAATAGCAAAACAGAGGAAGAGCCAGTGTCTGCCTTCCAGGAGCTCTTAGTTGAGGAAACGGAGTGTGACCCATAGTTAAAGATACCCAGACACATGCCTCTGTGATGTGCTGTGCAGAGGAAGGGCGATTTACATATGTTATTAAAGCTTTAGAAAAGACTACACATTCGGTTCCTCAGTTGCACTGGGGCCACATTTCATATGCTTCGTGGCTACGTGCGCTGGGGCTGCCATACTGGACATCACAGATCTATTCTAGAACATTTCCACAGCAGAGGGTTCTACTGGACATCACTGTTGCCTTGACCATTGATCCTTGACTCTTCTCTCTTTTTTTTAAATCTCCTACTCAATATTCTGATTCAATAGCAAATCCTACTGCTTCTCTCTTCAGGACAGATCTTGGAATGACTTCTCCTTACCTTCACTGTCACCACTTTGTCCCCAAGCTGCACCTCTTTCCTGGACCAAAGCTGCTATTTTATGCCTGGATCGCTGCCTCCCACCTTGTTCCGGGATTCTGCTATCCACACAGTGCCCATCAAATCAAAGCAAGACTTTCCTGTCTTAAAAAACTATGAGCTCAGAGGGAAATCCAGACCTTAAGGTGGCCAAGGTCTTGCGCCACCTGGAGCCCTGTGCTCTGCATGACCTCACCACATACCCATTTCCTAAAGCCTGTTCCAGCTGCACTGTCAGTCCCCACCTCCCCCGCTGCCACACGCACAACCAGGCACACTCCTGACTTAGCGCTTTACTTCTGCCTTTGTTTTGCTGGAATAGTTGTAACACAAATACCCAGATGGGCAGGAGCAGGGTGGGTGGAGGTGGAAGAGGGTATGGGGAGATAAATGGTAATAGGAAAAAAAATACAATAAAAAAAAAAGTTGTGTCTTAGCCCTGGCTGAGTAGCTCAGCTGGTTAGAGCATCATCCATATATGCCAAGGTTGTGGGTTCGATGCCCTGTCAGGATACGTACAAGAGTCAACCATGAATGTATAAGTAAGTGGAACAACAGATCAATGTTTCTCTCTCTCTTTCAAGTCAATAAATAAAAAAAGGAAAAACCCAAATACCCCATGGCTTACATCTCATCCCCTTTTTTATTTTATAATTTTTTAAAAATCATCACCCAGGGATGTTTATTGATTTGAGAGAAACATTGACGTGAAAGAGAAACATCTACCAGTTGCCTCTTGTACAAGACCTGAATGGAGATCGAACCCACAACCTAGGTATGTGCTTTGACTGGGGATTGAACCTATACCCTTTTGATGTATTGGAAGATGCTCCAACTGACTGAGTCACCTGGCCAGCGCTCATCCCTTTCTTTATTTAAATGTGAGGTCTTCTTCAAAGCTCCTCTTGCTCCCTTCATCCTCTCCAACCTTTCCCATGTTTCCCTGCTTTCATTTCTCCATCGCACAGATTCTTGTATGACTTAATGCCTGTTATCTTGTTTCACTTTCTTGTTTATAGCCTGACTGCCTATTGGCATCTAAACTCTATGAGGGTGAAGATTTTCTTCTGTTCTGATTTCTTCATTGCTGTTTCGACAGCACCTTGGAAATGCCTGGCACACAGTAAGCACGCAGTAAATATTCGCTGAGTGAATGAAGACATCGGTGAATGAGAATGAGTACATGCCCCGAGGGAGTGTATCTTTTAGGTGGGGGAGGACACAAAACTAAATAAAATAAGTTCACATTAGTTACGAGTGAGTGCAGTGCATGTGCTGAAACAGGGGGATGAGTTGGGACCTGTGCAGTGAGGTAGAGTCATTTTAAGCCCAAAGAACAGCATGTGCAAAGGCCCCCAGGTGAGACTAGAGAGTAAAGGAGGGGAGATGGATGAGATGGAGGTGGTATCGGGCCAATAAATTCAGTGCTGGCTGCACAGAGTTGTCATGGGAATTAGTTAATACAAGTAAAGGCTGTTCGGGGGAAATCATAACTGAGTTAATTGGACAAAAAAGGGAGAAAATGTTATTTTAGGCAGGAAGCAACCGGAGCCAGGTCCTAGAAAGGGTGAGAAGAATCACGATGAGGGTGTCTTCTGCAGCTGGAAATGTCAAGGAGGCTGCTGAAAATCAGGGGAGGGGTCTGGGCTTGCACCTCAATCCCTCAACACAGGGCCTGCCCTGTGACAGCTAATACTACTGTCATTATGGAAGCTCAGACCTCTGAGCACATCTGGGCTATGATGCCCCTGCCCCTACCAACACTGTCAATAACCACCTTCAAAGATGAAACCATCTGTACAGCTGAAATATATTCTTTATTTTAGGAATGGAAACAGGATAAGGAAAAGAAAGATACCTTTATTAGTTGCCTCTGAAGTACCATCGAAAGAACATCCTGGGGAAATAAAGAGATGTGTGTGGGGGAGACAAGTTGGGAAGCAAATATTTGAGTCCTCCTGGATAGGGTCTTGGACTCCGGGGTCTGAGGGAGGGGCTGGGGGCGGGGACTCCTGGTTCCGAGGAAGGAGGGGCTGGGGGGCCTGCACTCCTGGGTCTGAGGGAGGTAGGGCTGGGGGCTGGACACCCGGTTCGGAGAAAGGAGAGCGCCAGATGCTGGGAGCCGGGGTCTTGGGAACTCACCACGCCAGCAGGGTCACACCGGCTGAAGCAAAGGCGGCGGCGGCCGCGAGCAGGCACTGGTTGCTTAGCGTCAGAGCCCCAGGCTTGGCCAGCAGCTCGCCCAGGCTCGGCCGCCAGTGTTCGATCGTCTCCCGCGGGGCCCAACGAAGCACTTCCCGAAATAAGACTTGGAGCTCAGTCTCCCCACGCGGAGGCGGACCCGTCACTGCGGGGACGCGCACGTCAGCCGGACGCAAGCCCCGCCCCCGGCAGCCCCCTCCTCCACGCAGCCCCGCCCGCACCGTTAAGAAAGAAGTAGAGTCGCGCCAGGGGGCGCTGATCGTGCGAGATCACGCACGAGAAGGTCCCGTGGTGCGTTGGCTGCACGGGCCGGATCCGCGCCAGGTATCCATGGGCCTGCCGCATCTCTCGGAAGAAGGCCAGGTCCTGAGTCCGGACCTACGGAACGCTTTGGCTGAAGCGGCAGGAGGAGTAGAGCTGACCTAAGCCCAGGTCAGATTCTCTCCTCCGGGACTCACTACCCGTAACGTGCAAGCCCCGCCCCCGACATAGACCACGCCCTCGGGCCTCAGCTCTCTATCGTCTTTTACGCATAGCTCCGCCTCCTGAGTCTTAACTCCGCCCCCTTGGACCTAAAACTTGCTCGCCCTCCCTAAACCGTTACATAAAATCCCCGAGCGCGGGTCCTGCAGGGCGAGCCTTGACCACTCCCTTAAATGCCGGGATCCCCTTCTTGCATGAAGCCCGAAATCATACCGAGCTCCCTCTAGCCTCACCCCTGCGTCCTGGCTCCTCATCCTCTAGGAAGTCTAACCCGACCCCTAAAATTCTCGCGCTGGCCACGCCCCGACTCACACCTCCTCCTGCGAACTTCCAGGAATAGGTGATCTCCTCCTTTGGCAACTGGAAGTTCACCGTGCAAGAGAACATAGCCTGATCACCCCGTTTCGCTGTCACATCCTGAACTGGGGACGAGCTCGCGTCACCACCTCGGCCCCGCCCCAGATCTCGTCCCTACCCCATCTCAGCTTTCCTTTTCTCCAGTGCCTCTGTTTCCTACCCTTCCAGGCCCCGCCCCTCACCTGGGCAGTCCAACGGGAGCTCGCAAACCGTGGAGTAGCACCCGTGGCAGCGGAAACGCCGGGCGACCTCCTGGAGTCCTGTGGGCGGGAACGAAGGGCCTGGGCTCCACTTGGCTTTCCCCAGCCCGGGTCCCTTGAGCAAGTTAGGGTCTTGTGCGCCTCCCTAGGTTCCACCAGCCATAATCTGGTCCCCGCCTTCCCTGCGCTCATTGGCTGACTCTCACTACTCTCCAGACTCTTAAGTAAGATTTTTATTGGTTTGCCTTGGCTTTCGGATCCACCCTTTATGATGTTTGTGAGCAATGCCTGCTTGACTTTTCTCCAGGGTTTACTGGCTTCTTTCGTGTTTGAGACCCAACACGTCTGTCTCACTTGAAGTCCCTTATTTCCGGCCCGACCTTGTCCCTTATTCCCGCCAATTCTGAGTTTTGAATGAAGCTCTTACCGCAGGGAGGGATGCAGGCCGGGACTGTGGACAGAGAGGAAGCGTTACTACCCTGGAAGCGTAGGGAGGTGCCCACCTGAAGCTCCCTGTGCATTCCTCTGGGGAGGCGGGACCAGGCCTGTTGTATTCCACCTGGGGACCCGACCCGGCCTGCAGAATTCCACTTAAAGGTCAGGCGTGGGTTTGCTGATGGCCATCTAAGGGCCGGAGGCCTGCACTAAGGAGGCGGGGCCGGCCTTGGTATATTCCACTGAGAGGGCGGGGCTAGACCCTCTGCGATTCTCCAGGCCCCAGTTAGAGAAGAGGTGTGTCCAAGCCTAAAGTAGCCCGCTTTCTGAAAGTGCCCAGGGCCAGAGCCAGAGATCCCGGAAGAGACCTGGAGTAATCTGGGACAAGACCAGGCCAAGAAGGGCCCTTGCTGCGGAGGAAACCTCAGATCGATGGGGCGGGGCCAGATGCTGAGTGGACCACAAGGGAGAAGAGCCTGCGTCCCACCAAGGGAAAGCAGTTCAGAGATCCACCAGGGGATTGGCCTGAAGGGAGCGGATGGCCGTTTTAGGACTCGGATTTTCTAATTGTGTGTGTACGTGGGGGAAGGAGATGGAATGTGTTACCTTCTTTAAGCTGTGTAATGACCTTCTGCATTTGGTCCGCGGCCTCAAGGAAGGCAACCTCAAAGGACCCTGGAGGTGGAGGGAGGCCTTCTGGTGAAGACGCTCCTCCTACGCCCCACCCCGCCCCTTCCTTCTTGGCCGGGCGAGCTCAACTGGCCTTTTTGTCATGGTATCTGTGCCTCTCCCTAGCCCCTCTCCACCCTGTCTCTGGTACATACAGCATCTCTTCTTACCTCCTCCCACCCCGTCTACCAGGAAGGCGGACAAGTCCCCAATCTCCTTCCTTCTGCCTCCTGACCATCTCTCTCTCTGATGGAAACCCTTCTCTGTATCATCTGTGCTTTACCTTGTTAAGGGGAAAGGAAAGGATAAAGATCAAATTCCTCACCCAGGTTACCTAAGTGCCGCCTAGTTTCTTTCACCCTATTCAATTCTTCTTGTCCATATTTCACTTCTCCTAATTGGAAAAGAAGCATATTCTCTGGCGCCTCAGGGCCTTTGTACATGCTGGTTTGTTTCTAGTACATCTTTCCGCCCTTCCTATTCACCCTTCATGTCATATCTTATACAGGCAGTGTGTACATGCATAGGCAGCGGTGACTCTCATAAGAGTGTTACAAAGGGGTTTGAGAGTTCATGAGCTCGTTATATCTCGTATCATCTACTTCGAGGTTTTCCCTGACCACACATCTAACTTAATTGAGTTCCCTGTTCTTGTCTTAGTTCCCCATTCATTGCATCATAGCTTTCTCCAGTTTGCAACTACTTACTTTATATATATATGGTGATCATTTAAAGTCTTTCTCTTAAGGAAACATAGCCTTCTTTACTGCTGTGTATCCCAGAACCCAGGAGTGGGCCCCGAGTCTTAGAAAATGTCCAGTAATTGTGTATAAAATCCAGTATCCACTGAGATGGAGACCACAGCTAGTGGTGTCCTGTGGCCCTAGCCTATCACTTGGATGTGTGATATTTAGTCTGGAAAGTGTTAAAATAAAAAGTGACCCAGTTGACATTTGTAAAATTGGGAAAGTCACATAAAATGTTCAACATCTATTTAAAAAAAAAATGGAGCCCTGGCTGGTGTAGCTCAGTGGATTGAGTTCCAGCCTGCGAACTGAAAGGTCACTCGTTTGATCCCCAGTCAGGGCACATGCCTGGGTTGCAAGCAGGGTCCCCAGTCGGGGGTGTGTGAGAGGCAACTGACGGATGTTTCTCTCCCTTTCATCCCCTCTCTCTAAAAATAGAGAATTTGGAAGAGCTGTAACACAGATACAGAATTTCCATGAGGCCGCAATCAGCTGGAGCTTAGGGGCAGCCACCCTTTTTAATCAGTGCATGTACCTGCCATCTCTCCATGGTCCCCACCTTGATTCAGATTCATTTCTACTCTTCTGTAATTCTTTCATGTTCTCTGTCCTTATGGGTGTTTTGAGTTTTGACCATTGTAAGGGCCTCCAAACTGCAAGGATTTGTGACATTTTCCACAGTGAATGGCTGGATTGATTTAGTGGTAGAAATTTCTCTGGAAATCAGAAATGTGGAAATCAGTTTAGGCTAAACTATTCCTGCCAGATGGTATGTTGCAGTCCTAACCCCCCAGTACTTCAGAATGTAACTGTATTTAGCTAATTAACGTGATATCATTAGGTTGGGTCTTGATCCAATATGACAGATTTCCTTATAAGAGGAGATTCACAGAGAAAAGGCCATGTGATGACAGAGAGAGATGGTCAGTTACAACCAAGGAGAGAGGCCTCAGGAGAAACTAACCCTGCTGACGCTGACACTTTGGTCTTGGACTTCCATCCTCCAGAATTGTGAAAAAATAAATTCCTGTTATTTAAGTCGTCCAGTCGCTGGTAGTTACAGCAGCTTCAGCAAACTAATAACAGAGATTGCCAGTGCCCTCCAAATATCTCTTTAGTAACAAAACACTTAATTTTGGCCAGAAAAAAACACCCTTAGCAAAGACTACATTTCCCAGCTTCCCTTGCAGCTAGTCACAATGGTGTGACCTAGTTATGGTCATGTGACCATGTCCTGGCTATGGAGATACAAGTGGAAGTCTTATGAGAATCACGGGGAAGTAACCTTAAAATGGTGCCATTTTATCCATTCCTTCCCCTTATTCCATCCTGTTGCCTGAAACTTGTATTTGATGGCTGGAGCTCTGTCGGTCTCATAAGACCCAGAGGACAAAGGGTATACCCTGGGATGGCAGAGCAGAAAGCTGGGAAGATGTTGGGTTCCCAAGAAAATGGAGCTGTCCCAGAAGGCGTAAGTGCCCATGTCAAGCCTTATTTTACATGGGAGAAAAAAACTTCTTGCTTGATTCAGCCATCGCAGTTCCTACTGTGATGTACAACCATCCCTAAAGGGAGTGAATGGACGATACTGGCAAGCGACTTTAAGTGATGATCACTGGGTATGAGCTGGAGAGAGGGGCACCAAAGCCAGGAAGTGGGTTCAAAATGAAGTTGGGACTGTGACCACAGAACAGGCATGTGGTCTGGAGACAGCAGGATGATTAGGAGGATGTGGTCAAAGTGGGATGCTCAAATGAAAGGCCAGGATGTTGGAGGAGTCATCTAAGAAATATCTATGGGCCAAACTAAGTGATTCCTGGTGAGGGTTAGCATGGGACATACCAAGTGAGCCAGGAGAGTGGGGTGCTCTATCAAGCAAACCAGGGGAGATGGAGTGAAATGTCCAGAGGCCAAAGAACAGGGGAAATACCAAGTGAACCACGAAGTGGTGCAGGTCAATGTTGTGAAGTCTCTCAAAAGAGGCGCCTATGGTTAAGAGCTTCAAATGTTTCTGAAGATCTGGGGTTGAGTCCTGACACTTCCATTTATGAACATACCTGACTCACATTTGAGATAGCCATCACAAGACCTCCCCCAACCCTGTGTGATTCTGGCCACATTACTTAACCTTCTGAATCCTCAGTTTCCTCATTTATTACATGGGGACAATATTGGCATTTACCTCACAGGGTTGGGGGCACACAATACCATATCACATAAAAGCATCCCTGCCCCAAATTACGTGCCAGGTACCATTCGGTGACTGCATGATAATGTCTGTAACTGCTCAGAATGGTGCCTGGCACACAGTGTTACAGAAGACACCCCCAAGTCTGAGATGGGGAAACCGAGGCATGGAAAAGGTAGAAAGTGACTTGGTCTGGCTCCTGGGCCCCACATCTAACCAGTGCCCGGGGCATAATGCCCTCCTCTCTACATCACACTACCCAGCCCATGGTTCATGTACACAAACAGTATCAGCTGCCACCGCTGAGACCCCCTTGAACGCCGCATGCCCCTCTCTCGGGCCCAGCATCTGAATAAGACCCAGAAGTCAACCTTGCCTCTTTCCATTGTCCTTACTCCACATATGTCTGGTCCAGATATACCCTGAGCCCGTCCTCCCCGTCCAGCTCAGCCCCAACTTCCCCATCTGGAAAACGGGGCTCTAACACCCCACTTCACAGGGCTGGTATGAGGCTATCTTTCAGAAAGATAGTTAATACAAATAGTTGTCTGGCAAACACAGCCTCTCCCATGGATGGAACAGGTGTAGCACACGGTCAAATCCTGGACCTTCCTTCTCCATCCAGGTGCCCCACCTCCCTCAGTTCAGACTCATCTTGGCCCACCTGGACCACTGGGACTGGTCTGAGACACCACTAGTCTCATTGCTTCTGCCTTTGTCCCACCTGGCCTTAGTCACATCCTCTCTCTCTCTCCTTGGAATCCTCCAATATCTCCCCCCATCTCAAGGTCAAAGTCAGTCCAACACATTGTCAACATGTGTTCCAGGAGCAGAAGCAGCATCACCTGGGAACTTGTTAGACACGTCCATGTCTGGGCCGTACCTCAGACCTACCGGTCAGAAAGGGAGGGTTAGGCCCAGGACTCTGCATTTTAACAAGCTCCCAAGAGACTCTGAAGGTACGTACACTGGGGCTTAAGGTCCTACAGGATGAGGCCCCTTGCTGCCTCTGACTTTATCTCATCTTGATGTCCCCTTCAGTGACACTCCTACAACAGCCCCAGGGCCTTTGCACTGGTTCTCCCCTGTGTCTGGAATGCTTTTCCCCTAGATTATCTGCAAGGCCCTCACTGCCATGTTGTTCAGGTCTTTGCTCAGTTGGACGTCTTCATTTGGGCCTCTCCTGACCAACCTGTTTAAAATGATCACCCCCACAGGCCCACTCCCTTGCCCTTTCGTCCTTCTTCATTGCACGGTTCACCAATTGATGTACTGTACCACAGTATTTCACTGATTATGTTTATTGCCCGTCCCACCCTCTGCAATATAAGCAACCTGAGGGCAGGTGGTTTTTAGTTCTGGTCACAGCTGTGTCCCCAGTGTAGTTCCTGGCGTATTAAATAAATCTCTGTTGAATGTATTGCACCAGCTTCTCCCGGCCTCCAGGTGGTCCTCCACGGGGCCCCAGGGGAATCTTTCTACACTCAGAGCTGACTCTGTCCTTCCCTCGCCCACAGGATTGAGCCTCAAGTCTCTTACCTTTCAGCTGAACCCTGGACCTATGAATCTAGCTGCCTCCTAGATGTCCCCCAGATCCCTTAAGAGGCCCTGTGTTGTAGCCCAGTTTGACATTTACCCCTGCTTCCCCCCCCCCCCCGCCCGCCCAGAGATGGAGCCAAACCCTAGGCACTGTTCTCTAGCCTCCTCCGCCCCTCCCGAAACAGCCCATCAGACCAAAGCCTCATTTGTCCTGCCCTTGACTCTCTCAGGCCCATCCCCTCATCTCCATCTTCACAGGCCCCATTCCAGGTCAGGCCTCCTTCACCCCAGCCTCCACCCAGGCCTCCTAGCCTCCACTCTCTCCCTACTCCAGACTGTCCCACACACAGCTCCAGAGGGGACTTGTTCCTTTCTTTTCAAAACCTTCTGGGACATGGCCCATGCAGAGGAGGAAAGGGTATTTTTTTCGGTCCTGCACCACCCCTCACAGCTGGTTCTGAGTTCTTCAGGCCTTCTTGGGGGTGGGGGGATCGCAGTTAAATTCTTCTTCAAGTTGGGCCCCTGGACACCCACTGGGTAGATGGGAACTTCCCTGTCTTTGGGGATCTTTGACACAATGTTTGGTGGGCAAAAGCAGGAAACAAGAATGGCAGATGTAGAAATGACCTGTGAGTAGCCCTGACCAGGTAGCTCAGTTTTTTAAAGCACTGTCCCAAGGTTTTGGGTTCGATCCCCAGTCAGGGCACATACAAGAAGCCACCACTGGAATGGATAAATAAGTATAACAACAAATCAATGTTTCTAAGATTAGTTAAAAACAACAACAAAAACACAACACGGCCTGGCTGGTGTGGCTCAGGGGATTGAGCGCAGGCCTGCAAACCAAAGGGTCACTGGTTTGATTCACAGTCAGGGCACAAGCCTGGGTTGCAGGCCAGGTCCCAAGTGGGGGGGCACATGAGAGGCAACCACACATTCTCTCCCTCTCTCTGCCCCACCTTCCCCTCTGTCTAAAAATAAAATCTTTTTAGAAAATTAGGGAAAAAACCCCCCATGAGCTCCTAGATCTCTGAGGCCAGTCTGTACTCCTCGACAGAGCTCAGGACTCCCTCCCTCCCTGCACAGTCCCAGGCTCTGGCATGAGGACTACATGACTATGAGGTCATCTCGCCAGGCGGCCCCTCCCTCTCCCTGAGCTCCAAAGCCATCTCGGTAGGCAGGGAGACTGCCCTGCCTTACAGGTAGGTAAGGTGAGGTAGAGAAGGAGGCAGTTGCACGTCCAGAACTTCATAATGAGGAAAAGCTACACAGTGAGGTCGGAACTCCTGTCCACCTGGTCTCAACTGGCTTCGGATGGTAGTAGGTTTTTCCGTACTGTCCCTTTCCCTCCTGCCATCATGTCCTGACGAGAGACTGGCTACCTACTGCCATCTGCGCCTAGGTCACTGCCACGTTCCAGGGACGCACACGCCCCACGCACGCACCCATCTCTTGGGGGTTCCAGGCCCACATCTCCCACTGCCGTTGTCCCCACCCACTCACCCTTGGCGGTGGCCACCTCTTGGAGGGAGTGGGTCATCTGGGTGAAGGAGTCATGCAGGTGGCTTCTCTCGTCATAGTCTGGGAGTGGGTGGGGGCAGAGGCTGAGGGAGGCAGCCGCCCCCTCTCCCCACATCACCTATATGGACAGTCTGTCTTTAAGACATTGTCTACGTCTGTGAGTCTGTCCCTCATGTCTAAATCCTCTTCCCTCTGAGTCTGTGCCCCTCCTCTGAGTCTCTGTCCCCCAAACTCTCTCCTCCTGCGCCTGAGTCTGTCCCTCAGTCTCTCTCCTCCTGCCCCTGTCTCCCTCCCCCTTGGCCTCTGACTGTCCCTGACTCTCTCTTTATCCCTGTCTCTCTGAGTCTCTGCACCCCCTCCCAGTCTCTATGCTCCTCTCTCTTTTGAGTCTCCGACCCCCAGCTCTGTCTACTGGTCTGTCATCTCTTTCTTCCTGGGCCTCTCCAGATCTCCCTGGTCTCTCCCTCCACACCCCCCCAGCGCCCTGGGGGATGTGGTGGGGTCTCCTCACTGATTTCGGTGTCCCGGAGGTGCTTAAAGGCAGCCGTGAACGCCTCCTCACACTTCTTGAGCTTGGGGCCCTCCATGCCCACGAAGGTCTGGCAGACGAGGAGGCGCTCACTGTAGGATGTGAAGCAGAAGAGGCAGGCCCAGGTGGGGGCCCCAAAGACTGAGAGGGCCACCATGGCGCACGGAACAGCACTTGCTGGAGCCAACCGGACCATCGCAAAGGGTCTTGGGCTGGCAAGAAGCTAGTGACCTTTGTGAGGTCATTGTGGGATGGGGGAGGGGCTTATGGTATGAGGTCAGAGGTCAGATTTCATTTGCAGGTCAAATGTCAGGCTTGCGGTTTTTAGGGAGGGAAGGATATGAGGGGGTCAGGGGTCAGGCCTGCCATCTTCAGGCTGTGGTTGGGCCGGATGCCAGGCTCCCAAGAACCTCACCTGTGATCCTGGACATCCTCACAGGTTAAAGGGTCTCAGGGACCCAGAGGCCGGCAGTTCGGTGTGTGGTGGCCGGACAGGCCCTGGTATGGGTTGGGTCAGAGATGGAGATGCCGCAGAGACACTGTGAGTGCCTCAGAGACAGAGAGACACAGAGAGACATCGGGAAGCACAGTAAGAGAGAGATGGAGAGTCAGAGAAAGCAGAAGAGATTTCTTGGTGGGAGAGGGAGTCTTTGAGGCCAAAGGGGAGGAGACAATGAAGGGACAAGGATGGGAGAGACAGCCCTGCTCCTCCTCCCAGGGTCCCTGCAGCAGCCCCGAGCCCTGTGGGGTGGGGCAGGGGCTGGGGGTCCCCGCCGGGTGGGCGTCCCGTGCAGGGCGCAGCCTGGGGAAAGCTAGGAGGCCGTATAGTGATCTCCGTGGGTGTCCTCCTCAACTATACAACCTCCTACCTCAGCCCGGGGGGCGCGGCCGGTGGACAGACAGACGGATGGACAGACAGACGGGAGGGCCGGGAGGGCCAGGGAGGGTGGGGAGGGCCGGGGAGGCCCAAGCTGCGATGGTGAGCCCCCGACACGGACCCACAGACACGAGCTTGTGTGCGGCGAAGGCCCCGCAAGGTCGGTTCTACGGGTGGGTGCCAGGACCCAGGAATCCGGGCCCCCGGCCCCCTCCTCCCCAAGGAACCCAGGAATCGGTCCCTTGGCCCATCCTCAAGGGGGATCCAGGAGTTCAGGCCCCCAGCCCCATCCTCCCCAAGGTCCCTGGAGTCCATGCCCCAGCCCCCTCCCTCAGCCCCGTGAGTCCAGCCCGGCCTGTCTCCCTGGGGAAGGCACAGCCAGCCTGGCTTCCTGGATGCAGGGTCGGAGGGAATCTCACCTGCTTTGGAGTTTGGCCCCTTGGGCAAGAAGGCTCCCTACCCACCTGTCAGATTCGGGAATCCGGAATCAGGCTGAGGTGGGCCAGGGCATAAGAAAGCCTCTCTGGGTCTTTCACCCCCGTCTCTTATCCCTTGTTCGGGCCTCTCATCATTTATAATGACGGCAGCTAACATCCCTGAGCTCCACCACTGCTCCGGGCCCCTGCCATTTCAGCCCAGAGATCCGGGCGCTACCAGCAGCCCCTCCCCCCCGTTTTGCAGGTGGGATGGCTGAGCTCGAGAGAGGTGCAGGGACTTGGTCAATGCCAGTCAGTCCCGGGGGGGGGGGGGAGGGGAGGCCTCCCAGGTGGGCGGCACCCAGCACCCACCCTCCCACCGCTGGGCCACGAGTCTGTGCACCTGGGGGTCTCTCCCTCGCCCAGTTCTCTGTCTTGCTCACTGCTCCAGCTCCATCTTTATGGTTCTCTCTTACGTCCTGCGGCCGCCTGGCTTCGGTCTCACCTGGTTCCCACCTCCTCCCGCATCGGCGTGTTTCTCCCTTGGCTCCGCTGTCTTTTCCTTCTCTCACAGCGCCTTTCTCAGACTCCCGTTTTCTTCTCTCCCTCCCTCTTCTCATTCTTTTTCTTTACCTTCTGTCTTTCTTCCTCCCTTTCTCCTCCTCCCTCCCTCTGTCTTTGTCCCTCTCAATTCTCTTCCCTCAATTTCCCAGTCTCACTCCCTCTCCCTCCTCCCCTCCCCCTTCTCTCCATCTCTCATCTCTGTCTCCTTCTCTCCCTCGGTCTGTCTCTCTCCTTTCCTCTCCCTCTTTCTCCTTCCCTCCCTCCTAGGTCTTTCTCCTCCCTTCCCTTCCCCCCCTTCCCTTCTCTCTTGCTGTCTCCCTCCCTTCTCCTTCTCTCTCTCTCTCAGTCTTTCTCCTTCCTTCTCTCCCTCCCCCTCGCCGCTCCGAGCCAGGTCTGGAGCTGGGGGTGGGGTGGGGGTGGTTGGAGAAGGGGCCCAGGGCTGGGGTAGCGACCTGCTGAGGAGGGGGAGGAGAGGCGGGAAGGGGGCGGAGGAGGAAAGGGGGAGGCGGGGGCCAGAGACGGGTCTACGGTCCCAGCTCTCATCCCCCTTCCCTCCTTCCCAACCTCCCAGACCCTCCGGCGGGGGCGAGAGTCAGGCCAAGGTGGGGAGGAAGGGGAAGGGAGGAGGCTGCCCCCGCCCCCCCCCCCAACAACCTGGCCCAGAGCCCAGGCCTGGGTTCCCAGCATGCCCCGGGGCTGCCTGGGGCCTGAGGAGGGGGATGAGAGGAGAGAGGAAGCTGAGAATCTTAAAGATTTGTAGGACCTGACCATCTCCCCACTTCCCCAACAAATTTCTCCTTGGGGAAACTGAGACACAGAGAGAAGGGTCAGGACTTGTTCAAGGTCACTGGACAAGGCGTTGGTGAACACTGGAACTCCCTGGGTCCATAGGCCCGGTTTGGGGAAGGGGTTGGCGTTGGCCTTCCCCCAGGTCTGGGCCCCCCTCCCCCTCTCTGCAGACCCTGGGGAGCCCCCAAGGGTCAGAGAGCAGACCCAAACAGTCTGGCACCATGGCAACCAGATGGCCCCGCCCCCTTAACCCCGTAGGGATGGACTCCAGCTGGGGCAAAAGAGGAGGTGGGGACTCCTGGGTTCTGGGGAGAAAAGGGGCTGGGGGCCCGAACTCTGGGGTTTCGTGGAAGGTGGGGGCCGGAGAGTGGACTCTCAAGTCTGAGAGAAAAGGCCAGGAAGCCAGACTCCTGGGTCCTGGGGTGAAGGGGGCAAGGGGTTCGGGCTCTGGAATTCTGAGGGCGGGGGCTGGGTTGCGGACTCCCAGGTTAAGGGAGGAGGGGGCTGGGGCCTGGAATCCCGGGTCCCCAAGGGAGCCTGGATGCAGGGCCTCTCCTCCGCCAGACAGCCCCTGCCCCCGCCGCTGACCCTGGCCTGTCTGGCAGCCCAGACAACCTCCCCCCTCCTCCGCGGCCCCCTCCCACTGGCACGGCTCACCCTTGACCCCTCAAAGCCCCGCAGCCTCTTCCCTGCCCCTCCCCCGCCCCTCCAGCCAGACGTTAACCCTTCCGCCACCAGAGGCACCTCCAAAGCCAGACTCTCTCCCGGCACCTACCCCGAGGGCGCGGGCGGGCATCTTGCCCCCTGTCTCCTTCAGCTCCGAGCCTGGCTATCCCAGCCCACGTCTCCTCCAAGTGGAATCCGGGAGGTGTTCCCCGCCCTCTCCTTCTCCGGACCCCGGAATCCAGGCCCCCAGCCTCCTCCTCCGAGAATTTGGGAGCCTGCGTCCCCAGCCTGCCCCCGCCCCCCCTCCAGGATCCCTGGCACCTCGGCCCCCGGACACCTCCTCCCTCGGGGACCCCGGAGTCCCGGCCCCAGGGCCCCTCCCCCGCCCCTTCCGCAGACTCACGGCTCCGCGGCTCCCGCGTCGCAGGGACGGGTCTCCCGGGCCCGCGGCCGCCGGCTGCTCTCCATCCTCCGCCCGCCTCCGCCGCCCGACTGCCTCTCCCCAGCCTCCGCGTCCCCGCCACCCTCCTCCCTCCGCGCGACTCCCCGGGCGCCGCGGCCCAGCTCCCCGCCCGGGACCCCGCGGCCCAGCCCCCTCCCCAGGGGGCCCCCGCCCCGGCCCCTCCCGCCGCCCTGCCCAGCGCGCCTGGCTTCCCCCTGCCCCGCCGCTGGCCCCGGTCCAGGGGAAAAAATTCCATCCAGCCCGGGAGGAGGAGCGGGCGGGGGAGGGCGCGGGCGGGAGGCCGGCCGGGGAGCGTGACGCAGGGGGGAGGGAAGGGACAAAAGGGGCCGGGAGGCGGCGGGCCCGCGGCGCTCCCGCCGTTCCCTCCCTCCGCCTCCCGCGGCCCGGCCCGTCTCTCCGGTCTCGGCGTCTCGCCCCTTCCACTGCGCCTGCCTTCCTCCTCTCGGCCAGCCTCTTCGCCCTGTGCACGCCGCTCTCTCTCTCTCTCTCTCTCTCTCTCTCACTCACACACACACACACACACACACACACACCTCCCTGTTACCCCCCCGCCTCCCCATCAGGGTCCGCGCCTCTCCCCTCTCCCTGCCTCCTGCCCCTCCCTCCCCCGCCGCCCCGATCTCCCCCCCCCACACCCATCCACCCACTGGGGACTCAAAGGTGAATCAGACCCACAGCTGCCCTTGCAGACGGAGCTCCCTGTCTGCAGGAGGAGACAGACCCAGGCGCAGACAGTTCCAGTCCAGGGGTGATGGGGTGCGCGCGAGGGAGAGGCCGGCGGCTGCGGGCGCCCAGGGCGGGAGGCAGCCTTCCCGCTGCAGACAGCCCGGAGGACCCGCGGAGGAGGCAGAGCTTGCTCGTGGCATGACCTCCAGCAACAGGGAGAAGTTAGATCTGAGTGGCCGAGGGAGAGGGCTGGCCGTAAGGGCGTTCCAGGCGGAGGGCACAGCTTGAGCAGAAGCCCAGAGGCAGGAAACGGGGCCGGTTCTGGGAGAAGAGCGCAGCAGCCAGGGCCGACTGGAGCCGTAGAGGACGCGAGCCCGGGAGCGGAGAGAAGAGGCCGAGGTGGTGGGCGGGGCCGGATCGGAAGCGCTTGGGAGGCCAGGCTGGGGACTTTTTCCTGAGATTGAACGGGAGCCCGCAGGGTTGGGAGCGAGGGGAGGGGCAGGGGCAGATGTGGGTGTCAGAAAGACCCCGCCGGGCCCCGTGGTGGAGGCTGGCAGGCTGGGGAAGAGGATGCCTGAGCTGGGGCTGGGAACCTGGGCGCGGGGAGGAGGGGGTGGGGCAGTGGATGTGTGGACACAGAGCACAGGCAGGCTCTGGGAGGTGACCCCGAGGGAAGGCGTGAAGAAGATCGATCCCCAGGGGGTTGGCCCACGATCTGAGGGGACAAGCCTTGTTCCCAGTGGGGAACCAGCGGAAAGAAGAGGGTGCAGGAGGGAAGATGCTATGTACAGGTTGGAACTTAGTGGCCATTAAGGACCCAGGGGACATTGAGGGAAGACATTCAGGCGATGCTAGGTATACAGTTCTAGGGCTCCAACGTGCAAAACGCATTCACCCCACCGCCACCCTGTACCCTGGCCAGCCAGTTCTCCCTGGGCACAGTTTGTGCCTACCGATTCCTTGTGTGTCTTTCCAGAGGTATTCTGTACATCCATACACATATATGATACCCCCTTTTCCTTTTTTGGTGCCCACATTATTTCCTTTTTTGGGATCACATTATTCTACACTTTGCTTTTTTAACACGGTATCAGTATCATGACGACCTCTGATATCCATGCTTAAAAGAGTTACCTTGTTACTTTGTTCATTTTACTGACTATAGTATTCCATTTATAAATGTATTTATACTTAATGAATTGAGAGATTTTTGTTACATAAACTAATGCTTATGCATGTGCAAGTCATTGGGATGGAGAAGTGTATATGTGTATATACATACATACACACACACACACACACACACACACACACATATATATATATATAT